TAAAATCGATGAATAAAGTAATAACTGACATCGACGAAAGAATTAAAAAAATATTAGGATAAATCGATAAAAACTTTTTCCGTCATTAAAACGTTTTACTCCGTGTGTCGATGATATAATTATAGCAGATGTCCTCGGATATCCTGCAGTGCGCAATTATATAATTGAATAATTGAAAAATCCGTGAAACACATCCGACTTGTATTTCCCATGGAAAAACCGCGGGATAAAAAAAAAACAGCGAGTGAATCTTGGGCTAAAAATACCAGAAAACCTCGAGAGTCAGGTGATTTACCGGTGAGCAATTGAACGTCAAATCCCGTCAATCATTGACAATTATGCAACAAGGTCGAGTGAAGTGAGTTATCAGGAAAATCCGGGGTACCTGAATTCACCTATTTACCTATTTACCTATTTACTACTACTCACTGAAAATAATTGTAATTCGGGGAAGACTCGGTGGTGAGGGTAAAACACGACGAGAGAATTAGTTTGATGATTTGTCTAACACACCCTGGAGCAAACACTGCGGGTAGTGCGTGACTTCCAGAGGGAGAGTGTAAGTGATAAGGGAATGGGGTGAAGTCGATGGGGAAATTCAACATTGTCCAGTGCTTTACCCGGAATTTACCTGGAAGAAGGGAATTAAACGATTCCAGGTTCGTCGTAGAGACGAGGGGGAGACGCGGTTAAATATCGCGAGGACCCCTGGATTAACGTACAGCTTAGTCATCGTACCGAGTAATATGTAACGAGCTGATTGGATGCGTTATGATAGGTTAATCTGATGCATTATCTCCTTCGTATTCTCACGACAACGGAGGATGGATGATTCAACAACTTTTTGGTCGTTGAACTTACAATTTATTTATTTATTTATTTATTTTTCCAAAAAATACATAAGAATAGATTTAATACAAATAATTGAAGTGCATGAATAATATAATTGGAGTCGATTCGACAGGGAAATATAAATATTTATTTAAAAATATGTGAAATTAACGGAATTTCATTGAATAATAATATTACCCCAAAAAATGTTGCATTATATTATTTTTTAAAATATTACAAATTAAAGGATTATGATTTAAATTGTTTACTGTTCAGAAATATTATTATATATATAAATATTACATTATATTTCGTATCTATCATTTCACATTTACAACTAAATGTCTTTTTATTGAATAAACTTTTCTATATTTAATTTATCTATATCCTCCTATTTTTTTATATAAGTTATATCCATATAATAGCGTACATATTAAATATATAAATCATAATTATGAATATCTATGTTTTTTTTTTATATATTTACATGCTAATTAGGGGAGCCATATAATTACAAATGATATCCCAGAGTAATTATGTATTAGTACATGTATATAAATCCATAATTATTAACGGATGTTATGTGATTTAATTTGAAGTTGGTTCATAATTTTTCTCGTACTTCGTGCGTCAATTCCCAACGTCAGACCCACAGTGAGAGGTCCTTGAACGAAATGGTAATTTCGCGTGTGAAGTATATACATATATTTGTGGCTGTTTGAAGTACATGCTCGTGAATCATCCTGTGGGAGTCACCGCACCTCCGCGGTATATTCCAACTACTCCGTACACCTTCATGGATTCCAGGAAGCCGACTTCCATCAAGGTAATACCATCGTCCACCTGCTGGAATTTCTCCTTATGCGTCGTACCAGTCCACCCTCGGGTGGATAAATTTCCGGGGAATTCTCCGCACCACTCAGAAATAATATTGAATTTCCTGGAGATCTTGATCAAACAATTTTTATCATTTATCTCCGCTTTTCGGGGGATTTTTTTTTAGGCGCTTTACACGGAATTAATGAGCTATTTATTCATTATTCAGTCGTCTCTCGCGTTGAGGAAATAGGAAAATACCACCGAGGAAATGGTAATTAAGGCTGATTTTTCAGTAATTCAGCGATTACGTCAGCATTTTCCGACGTCAAAAAAGTAGTGGTTGAGCTTCTTTGCAATTCTGAGGGCTATTGTTAAATAATATTCATTAATTTTTCAGTTATTGTGTGGAACTTACCGGAAAAATCAGGAGTCGTCTGGTGTCTCAGGAGAAAAGAAATTTTCCACGAGTTTTCAATGTGAAATTTTTCGATGAAATTTCGATAAGAAATGTAATTAATCAACTGGAAATTATAATATATAATCTATTTTTTAATTCAGTTAATAAAAAATAAGAAAAAAAATAAGAAATATTCAGTAAAAATGGGGGAACGCCGCAGACGAATTCCGTGACGTCAGATAAAAATACGAGACAATTTTCTAAAATTTCGTACAAGAATTTAGGAAGAGATTTTATTGAATATATTTCTCTCAGTGGATTGAGTGGGACTATATGGCACTTGCGTTCCCTTGGATTTCGCCGAAACAAGACCGAGGGTTAAATCATACCCACAAGGTACATAGTATTGTCAATTGAGGTCCAGCATGACCGCCCGCGGCCCATTACCGGCGCTTCCATGAATGCCTCATGTAAAAAAAAAAAATAAGCGAAAGATAACCCTCGCGGATTGATGACTAAACTGGTGTTGGCAAAGTTCCGTCACGTCATGTACAGAGCAATCGTCAGTGACACACAATCCGCCTCGTAATCAGATAATCAGCGGTGATCCGCGGACCGCGAAAAAATTTCCAATCGAAATCCGCGAATCAATGAATTACCAGTTTCAGGTGGTGAACAGCTATTGCGTCGGCACATTTCCCTGAAGAACGCGGATCGATAGTGTCCCGGAAGGGGTATGAAATCATCGCACCAACCCTGCGGCCTCGGATAACCCCGTTCTACCCTGGACTATCGATTCAGCCTTTGGCCCACGTTTCTCACCGAGAGTCACATTTATTTATTAATTTTTACCACGATTCTGTTAATCCCCACCGGAAGCTCTCGGAACTCCTCCACACCCCACGTCCCGAGAATATCCAGATTAATAAAAAAAACTCTTAAGTGGAATCCTCAACATGCCGATGACACACGGGAATATTTAAACGATCCTACGAGGAATCAATTTTTATAACTCGCTTTTTACCGCCGTGACTCAATCCTGACACAAAAATCACTTTTCTTCCAACAAATAAACCGTTTTTTTTGTTTGATAATTATAATTTACCGACTAATTTTTATTGAAAATACGAGAATATTATTAACAATTGAAGTCAATTTATTTTAGAACGAAATTTAATCCACTAGGTGATTTCAGAGGGCAATTTTTTCTCGGAATTTTAATTAAAAATGTCGTCAATTAACTGAGAATTTCCCCGATTTTCATTGCCTCTTGACAAGTATCCAGAAATACCCAAAAAAAATATTATAATTATTTATTTACATTTATGGAATGGAAGGACTCCATTTTAATAATTTGGTTTATCGGTTTATCACCGGGACTCAATTGGTCATAAAAAAATCACTCTTTTTTGCAATAAATAAATCGTTTTTTTGGTTTTATTTTCAGGATTTGCAGGGGAATCATCGAAAAGTATATTTTGAATTAAAAATTACGAATAAAAACAATTGGATTTCTTTATTGACGTTTTGTTCACGTAATTCTGGTAATTAAAAATCTTTAAATGATGAAAATTCCAGCAATTGTTCGTTAATTATTCAATCATCATATCATTTAATTAATCACCGGTTGTAATTGCAATTGAATTCAAACACCTGTAATTGGAAACTCATGACCGATTGAAATTTCAAGAAATTTTCAACAGCATTCATGAAAATTCCCATTTGTTTGGGAAAATTCGTTGAATCCTTGAGAATTCGTTGGGAATTCCTGGGAATTCCTGGGAACTGCGGTTTTTTATTTGAAGTTTGAATGTTTTTTTATGAGAGAACAATTGAAAAAAATTCAAATGGAATTCTTTCTATTACAAAGACATTACGAGCGCAAAAAATTCGAAAGTCGTCGAGCGATCGAGATGATTCAGGTGGTTTTAAATATAATCATCAATTTGATCGGCCCGAGGGGAATAAGTGGGTCAATAACTTCGGCGAAGGTCCTCCGAGTTCGTCGAGAAGTCACCGGGGCACCCCCTGACGCCTTTTCCGTTTTTTTACTCGGAAAATCCACAAATTGTGGGAAAATTTCCAGTTTTCCGGAATCACTTAAATTCCGTTGCAAAGGTTCGATATTTAATCGATATTGAATAGTTCTGAGAAATTCTCCGTTCAAATGTAATTATTCGATTGTTATGAGCATTTAATTAATTTTTTCAATTCGTTAGTTATAATTTAGCGATTGGTTAATCGATAAATATCGAAAACTATCGCAGGGAATTTTTCAATCACTTTTTTGTGGCAATTGAATTTGTTTAATCCCGTGAAGTGATCGAGGAAGAATGAGAAACTGTTCATTTGTTAATAACAATTGCAGTTTAACTGATTGACTCGTCCCGATTCGATTGATCGATAGAGAAAATTCAGTCGAAGAGTTATCGATCGAAAAAGACGTAAAAATTATTTTTTCTTATCGTCGATTTTTGGAGAGAGATGATGTGGGGAAAATGGGGCAGAAATTGAGTGGAAATCGGCGAAAATGAGGAAAAATGGGGAAAATCGCTGAAGTTGAGTAAAAATGAAGAAAACATATGCGAAAAATGGAAAATCATTGCACAAAATTGAATGAAAATTGAAATGAGGGGTGAAAGTTTGGGGAAATGCGGGAAAATGGAGGAAAAGGGAAAAACTAAGCATAATGAGAAAAAATTGGGAAAATTGGTGAAAAATTGGGGAAAAATGGGAGAAAATGGGGAATTGAGGGGAAAGTACGGAGTGAGAGTGAAAGAGAGTAAAGAAAGAAGAGTAAAAAAGCCAAGGGGGGGAAATGAAGAGGGAGAGGGCAGAAAGCGGGAGGCTCTGTGTTGCCTCGTGCCTCGGAAATGTTGGTGCTCGGTGGCGGGAGCAACGACGTATTATATAGACGGCTGGGCATATCCCCGCAAACAGTCGACACGCGGCCGTCGCGTTGTAGAGATTGACAAAGACCAGACATCCATTTTAAAAATAAAAAATTTTAATTAACGAAAAAAACGCCAATCACTCGACACCGATACTCCAATGAAATCCACCCTCACATGATTTCAATATTTTTCACACTTGGATTTTCTGGAGTTATGCCGCAACTTCCGCGTGTTCAAACTGACCACTTATCAACGTGTGCGCGCGCATTGCCCGGCTCTTTTCAAATGCAAGTGATTTTTTTGAGGGTAATTCAGGCTGGAGGGATTTAACACTCGTTTCTAGCACGTGTTTCGACGAGCCTGTGTCGAAAAAAGAAAAAAAAAAGGGAGTGACTGACACGTACACGATGAAGATAGTAGCCGTGCGGACGAGTGATCACACGAGCTACTGTAACAAATTCTTCTGCCTCGTGGGGCCGTTTCTCCGACATCGCAAATTGTTGATTTTTTAGTGAAAAAAAAAAAACCGTATTCAATTTTTGGAGGAATTTACGGTGGGAATATACCCACCGGTGAGATGACGAGGGCTTTTCATTATTGTGATAACCTGTGGAATTGAGAAGTCTTTGGAGATTAACGCGGATATTGCCGCAGTGTTTGTTCTGTTCTCTTGGCTATGGGCGAGGATTCAATAATATTGCCGATTGATCGCGTTATCTGTGAAGAAGACGACAGGACACGATTCAGGGTGGAGCGTGCCGGTAAATTTGTTAAATTTGGGAAGCGAAAGATTAACGGTAATTGGCCGATTGGTAAACCGAGAACTATTCAACAATTGGTTCGGGCATTCATCGGTAATCGACGATTTGTGATTTTTATCGGTTGTGCGCTTCTACTTGGCGGTTGTTATCTCGGTTTTGGTGGTCAAGGCAAATCTGTCAGGATGCAGGGGGATTTTTTTGGTGAGGTACAGCTCAGGGAGGACGAGATCGAGACCATAAGGAGGAGCATCGTGGAGGGTCTCGGGATGCAGAGGATACCTGATCCTTCCAAGGTATTTCTCACGCCTGAAATATCCATATTTTCTCTTATCAATTACCATATCACTTGGGTAGTTGGGAAAATTTTTTCCATCTCCAGTTTTTGGACTAGAGGGAGTAATAAAAAAAATTCGATTTATCCAGTTTAACTTTTTTATTCAGCACTGCATGATCGGTTATCAATTTATCTCGATAACTCTTGATTCCATGTAAAAACGCCAAAGGACTTTTTTGTAGCTAATCAATTTCCCCGTAAAATTCATCTCTTGGCGTTTTTAGGTAAAATTAATAGTTTTCGAGATAATGAGGGATTAATGATGATTTTGATTCCCATCGTTTGGTTTCAGTAATTCGTTACAGAATTTCAGGTGTTACATGATCAATTATCGATTTAACTCGATACCTCTCGATTCTATGTGAATACGCCAAAGGACTTTTTTGTAGCTAATTAATTTCCCCGCGAAATTAATCTTTTGGTGTTTTTCGTTATAACGAATAGTTTTCGAGATAATGAGGGGTTAACGACCATTTTGATTGCAGTCGTTTGGTTCAAGTAATTCGTTACAGAATTGCAGGTATTCATTAGGATGTTTAATGTTTATTGAAAACATATGGAAAATTAGAACGCGTTATGATGTATTCGGCTCATTAAGTCGCCCCATAAAATATCCAATTAAAACTTCAATTCTTTCTTCGAATCTCATCTGCGAGGGGGTCATTAAAATAAATGAGTAACTAAGGCATTTCAAATAATCGTAAATAACCTGGGTACATTCATTAACCACTGATAAATCAATTGACTACGGACAAGGAGTATCCACCCATGGGCAACAGGTGTCGGTTTTTAGTGGTCCCCAGTGCCTCCCCTAGAATCTTTCTACATCTTCCCTTCTCATTCAATCGCTGAGAATGTTGTGTTCCACTCGATGTTATAAGTTGACTCCGAGATAACGAAGGGACGAGTGAGAAAACCATTGGAGGGAACGGAACGCTGAGAATGTCGTTGGGAAATTCCAGACGTTCTGGGCGGTTCCGCCTACATGTGTGGGTAAATCGCCTCGGGGAGACCTCCAACATCGGGCTATTCGATACCTCCGGCCTCGGAAATCCAGGAACTTGGAAAGTCCAGGGGGCTATTCTCACTTTTATCTGACAAAGATTCACGAAGAATTCACGAAGAATTCACGAAGAATTCCCGCGAAATTCCGAATCTCCCGCCGTTTCGCCAACAATTACGGGACCAATTCAATTAATCAATTCATTAGTCAGTGAATTTTTCGGCAGCTGAAAATTAAAATCGCGAGAAATTCGCGAGAAAACTGAAAATTCCGGAATTATTCGGGAATTCACTTGCAAATTTATTTATTATTATGTTTCCATTGAAATTAAATTTATAGAAAATTTTGGATTTCACATTTTCGCGAGATTTTAGTGAAATCTTTTTAAAAATTCAGTCGCCGATTAATTACAGATGACAAATAATTACCTCAACCATTTTCCTTAATCCCCAATTATCAATTTTCTCATTAAAAATCCCAGTTTTTCCGGGAAATTTAGAAACTCTACATTCTCATCCACATTTATCAAACAAAAAAGCAGGGAGACAGGTCAGAGGATAGAACGAGCTTTTTATTCAATTAAATTTCGCCTCAACTCGACAAAGCCATTATCTCGAGTAATTACAAGAATGGACTAGAAGCGTCAAAGCGGTCCCCCGAAAATTCAGTGATTCAAGTGCCCTCGAGTGGTTAGTCAAGCACGCGACATCTTGAGTGACTCGTTTAAGTGAGTTTAAACAAACTCCGGGTAATTGCAAATGAGAGAAAGGAGAAGAAAAGGGCGGATAGGGCGTCGCGACGCGGTAAATGGACCTTCTCCAAGAGCAAAAAAAAAACCTGGGGCAATGCCAAGACCCAATGGCATTGGAACACCCAAAAAAAAAATATATCCACTGAGTGTTTTGAGGAAATTTAATTATCTACTCATGAGACATTTATCGTCGAACTTCCGGGACGTAATTGCGTGTCAATAGTACTTGCAATAGTTGTAATATTTTTTATTTACTCATAACTGTCAATAATTGTTGTGCAATTATTAATTTTTTCGGAGTTCCCATTCCCATTTTTTTACCTTTTTTACATAATATTCATAATAATAATAATGATAATAATAATAATAATTTTGAGAAGAATTTCTTCATATAATCCCCGGAGAATTTATACCCGAATTTTTGTTCTGACTGGAAATTCAGGAAAAATGCCTGAATTTTTGTTTCTAAATGCAAAATTAATTAATTAATTAATTAATTAATGGACGAATGAATTAACAAATGACGTAGAATTATTATCAGATTCAATATAAAATTGTGGAATGACTTAATTAATGAATTTCAATGGCGATTATTGATATCTGGATTTATTTCGAGTTATCGAATTAATTAGTTCGATATAATTGCGGTTTAGAATGTAGTTGGCTACCTGCAACTATTGTCCTGGGGAATGAGTTCTGGGAGGTTATTTTCGACTGGAAAAAATATCAATCCTTGAAACATTTTTTTTCTCAATGTAATTCCGATGGACACCGTGTCTTGGACCACCGGCGACTCACCTTTACGACTCCTGGGGCTCATTACGGGCGCCCCACGAGGTTTTCTGGATAAATAAGGGGAGATTATGAGAGTGGTGAAAGGTTACTCACACACAAATATTCCACTTTGTTTCGGCGCTAACGAGGCGATAGCCTACAATGAGAGAAGAATTTTTTGCCTCGAAATTTTCGGAGTTAACTGAAGAAATTCTCCCATAATTAAAAATACCACTGATCCTAGATTGATCATTTTTTTTTAAGTACTCGAGTACCTGAAGATATTTTTGATGATGACGAATTTTTCCTCCTAGATTAGATGTACACAGGGAAAATAATTAATTTTGCAAAGTCCATTTACTGATGACTAGATAATCCACATATTTCAATTTAGATTTCCCTGGCAGGAGTAAATTAATTCACTAGATTTTTCTCTCGTGGAAAGGAAAACTCAACAAAATTCCTCCGTTCGTCATTCCAGAGCAAAAGGTGTTCGAGGAAAATTTTACCTTGCGAATACTAATTTTTTGAAGTTTCCGGTAATTTTGTCTGAATTTCTGTAAGTCACTTCCGTAATCGATGATCGATGTAATCATCCGTAATATTTCTTCGATATTTCTCTCGATGAATTGTCAAACTCTTGGGAATGAAAACAAAGGGAATTTTCCCGTTTTAATGATTTAATCGAGAGGACTTTAGTCGATCCGTGTGGATTGAATAATTTCCAACACAAAAAGCGTCTAAAATAATTCACCGACCCGAGTTAGACCCCGATAATAATTATCAGCATGGCGATAACTATCGCAATGATTCGGGAAGTTCCGAACGAACGGGATGAAATCAATTAAGAGGTCCAAGTTCAATCGGTGAATGATTTTTCGGAGAAATCATCCTCTGGGTCAACGTCTCGGCGTCAACAACTCCATCACTCTTTTTCCTCGCACACCCGTTTATATCTTTTTTTAGAATTCCCTCCCCATTTTTTTTTTTACGAGTGTTATCTCTCTCGAGGAACGATCCCACTCGACTTCTCACTCCCTTACTCGTCTGTGTTTTGTTAATTAGCAACAAGTCCCTGGGTAAATTTTTTTTTTTGTCATCCACTCCACATCTTTTCATCGTTCTGACTAAATGCATTTTTGTTTCGTCCGACAGGCGAACGTGAGTCAGACGGAGTATGAAAGAGCCCACGTCGAATACCTGAGGAGACTGCAAATGTCGAGAGCACCTGGTGACAGAAGACGAAGAAGACTTCACACGTTTCATGCCACAGGTAACAATGCCCTTTCAATTGACTTATCTCTTTTTTTCTTCTTTCATGTCATTTTTTTCATCACTTCGATAATTTTTTGGGTACCGTTGGCCTTTTAATTGATGACATCCAACGGTTTACCTTGAATTTTTATCAACTACTTCATGTTCTTGGATTAAGCTTCCGGTATACGTCGTGGGAATTCTAAACCAGTGACACCTCCATCGAAATTGCAAGCGAATCATTAGCCTTCATCAACTCAACGATTCATCTATCTACGATTAATCTTCATAATAATTAAATAAATAATTTTATGAAGTACTTGAAAATACAAAATTATAGGTTCCGTACGTTTACAATTACCAGATAATTGGTGAATATGGTGATATAATTATTTCAATAATTTCCGTATATTGAAAAAATATATTTCTTCCGGGGGTTTATGAAAAAATATTAATGGGATTTTGACAAGTTTCACTTTCAACCTGTCGAGATAATTCAGCGTTGTCTTCTTCGTCCTCGTTCGTTCGCATTGACTCACTTCCTGGGGATTACCGGTACTTTTTTAATGATCACTCAGATGACGTTTGCCATGAGCCGATGAAAAACCCGTCATTAATTTCTCATTCGAAATTCTCGCCTCTCGGTTACGAAATTATTTTTTTAGAACGTCTCAATCGTCGGGGATCCTGTAATTCTTTTGCCTCTTGTTCCGCTGATCGTCGCAGTTTCATCCTGATAATTTTTTTTTTAGGATGGCACTGAGACTCGGTGTAATTGCATCCTGTTTACTTTGCAAAGTCTGGGGACTGGTCATCCACCCCTTGCCAGTTTCAGGAGCACTTTTACCGGGGGTCAAACGTCGGGGGCGAGTTTCCGGTTCACGTTTGTTTCTTGACGAGAATTATAGTCAGACGAACGAAGTCTCACGACCCCATTTTGCTCAGGCTATTTCCCGGGGCTTATCAGCAGCTCCACAATCGGTTTTTCGCCGCCATTTTTTTTTCCCTCGGTACAGATGACACAATGCGCGGGGCTATTCGTTTACGAATATCGTGAGGCAATGATTGCTGAGTTTAAAGTGATTTCAAGTGATTCCGGTATTACAATACTTGAATTCAAAATAATTACTTTCAATGATTTCAATGACTTTCGTCGATTTCCGGATTATATAAGTCATTTTACATGTTTTTTTCATTTTGTTTTCAGATTTTTTTTCTTTCTTCATCATGTTTTTATAAAGAAGTTCGAGTTTTTAGTGTTTTAATTCTTTTTTTATTTTTGTCTTTTCTCTGGTGTTGACCATAATATATTTTGAAAATATATAGAAAACAAAATTTTGGAGAATATTTTTGAAAATATGAAAAATTGAATTCGAAATAATTACTTTGAATAATTCCAAAAACATTCTCGATTTCATGATTACAAATTATTTTGAATGTTTTCATTTTGTTTCCACGAATTTCATAATTTTTTAATAAAAAAGTTTGAGTTTTTACTATTTTAATTCTTTTTCAATTTTAGTATCGTCTCTGGTGTTGACCATAATATTTTTAAAAAATATCTAGAAAACATGAAATTTTGAATAATATCTTTAAAAATATGTTCTTCCAGTTCTATGTGAAAATATTGAAAACTTATTAAATAATATTGCTATTGAGTAACAATCAGTCACGCTAGATATTGAACGTAACAACTCAATTATCCATGAGAAAAAAAAATATCCAGAAAGTATTCCCCACAGACAAATGACCGCAAGAAGATAAATCCATGTTTTCCATATCAAAGTAACGCATTACTCAGTAGCCTCGATAAACATCTTAAGTGTCTGTGTACCGAGGCGTTAGGATTATCAATCAAATTAGCAATTACCATCTCGCGAGATGAAATAAAAATGAATAAAATGTGAGGGTGTGTAGAAAAACGCTGAGACACGGGTTTGAGAATACTTGGAAGTCACAAGTGGTCTCGCAATGTGGGCCTGAAGAGACGTGTACTTGAGACTTGTGTTATAATCCCCTTTTTTCTCCCCCTCTCATTTCCAACCGCTCTCCTCTGTACTCTCCTCACATTGTCCTCGTAATACGTATGTCACGTTACGAAATAGAAATTCCATTCGAACAACGAGTTTTTGTTGAATGCTGTGATCAATAGACCCCGACCATTTACCTCCATATCAGAATTATTCCGCTAAATTATCGGATCATTATTATCTCGTTAACGAACGTCAATTCAAAATTCAACGCAAAATAAATTGTCTATATCATATTAACCACAAAAATAATCTTCAAATTCCAATTCCATCTTCGCCATTACAATATCAAGTAGATAATGTAATGAGTAATGAGAACATGCAATTAATACTTTTATAAGTCAGCATCGGCACGCATAATTTATCCACTGCATACATGCACGATTATTTACTATAAATAATCTTTACAAAACTGTAAATTATCCGAACAATGGAAAATGAACCCTTGAAAATGTGAATTTCATTATCTCACAATATTTAAACAAACGGAAAGTCGATTAAAAAAAAAACGATAATGACCACTTGTTTGAGTCCTAATTCCATTCCTCTCTTCCTCATCTTCTCCCCCTGAAGACGTCTTCCACTTGAACTTCCGGCCACACAAAGTTGTCACCGACAATGGGCTTTGCCCCAGGGGAAATGATTTTACAACATCATTTCCTAGAGTCATAAAAAAAAAAATCAACGTAGAGTCGTTAAGCCGACGTGACCGTAAAATATCGTGAATTTTTTAGTACCCATCCGATGAAATATTTATCTCGTTATGTTTGTTGAGAAATAGTAATATCAAATGTAATAGTGAAGGTAAACGATTAACGGGAACGTGGGCAGGCGCCAACCGATCACTCAGTATCTATTTTCAATCGGAATACCGGATTGATAAAATTCTATTATCGGAGACGATGAGTCGATGGGCTATTCCGTGTATCACACCGATTTATGTTACCTAGAGATAAATGTATCACCTAGAGTACTTCACTGTGATTTCACTCGGAATGTGCATCACTCTTTCATTCCGGAGATATAGGGGCCACCAGAGGATGATGTGCGTATTACATTCCTCCGATTATTGTGTAAATACAACGAAATTCTTTGAATTTTATTAACCCACGTATGTGATCGCTGGGGAGATATGTATTTTTAGGTGATTCTATTTTGCCAGAGTGGTCACTACTAAATACCGGAAGTCGTGTAAACATTGGGGGAGGGAGTCGGTTCAAAGATTCAATTAAATATTTACAGCTCAATATTTTGTGTAATTGTATTGATTAATAATTACGGAATTTTTCGGTTCGTTTTAAAAAGTAAAGTGCCATTTTTGTACACAAATCACGAAAATTATTGTTTTTTATAATTATAATGTGTATTTGTAAATGTGTTTAATTTTTATTTGAATGGATCTATTTGAATTGTGGAAGTGATAATTATGAGTGTCACACGTTCGTCTCGTGGTACAGAATTACGATCGAAAATTGATAATCATTTAATAATAATTATTATAATTACTATTGTTTGTCGAGAATAATTCTTTTAATTATTCAACAGCAGAATAAATCTAATATGAAAAAAATCGTACAGTCAATTAGAATTTTGAGTTCATTCAATTATTTACATTATTATCGCGGATTTTTTTGCATTATTTGACAACTAGTTGATTTATCCATTTATATTAGTTTAAACATAGAAACATTGAAAATTAAATATTAATATTCAATTCAGCCTTTTTAATGAGAGATATAAAAATAAAAATTGATTGTTACAGAGGAGATGGATGTGTCAAGAGCCAGACGTGACGTGTCATCGAGTGAGATCAACCTGTACTTTCCCCTGGATCTCCCAGAAGACGAGGAAGTCGACCACGCGACCCTAAGACTGGTTCTGGAGCCGGGGACTGTCTCAGATGAATTGGAAGTATCGGTTTATCGAATCGAGGATGAATCAAGACACTGGGTGTCGAGTGCACGATTTACAGAGGTGACAGGTGCCCGATGGATCGAGCTAGATGTCACGGAGTTGGTTGTCCTCTGGCACGAGGGTGCCATCGACAATCTGGGAATGGATGTGGGTGTGAAGGGTTCCCCAGGGGCTGCCCTGGCCTCACCCTACCTCAATGTCCTCTCGACGACAGGACAGAGCCGACGGAGACGATCAGCCACCGATCACCTCATGTCTCTTCACAAGGGGCGAAGAACCGATCGCCCATGTGACACCAATAAGTGCTGCAGGCACGAAATGACGGTCATCTTCAAGGATCTCAGGGGCTTCGACTTCATCATTCAACCAAAGACTTTTGACGCTGGATACTGCAAGGGCAGGTGTCCACCCAGATTCAATCCTGCTCATCATCATGCTCTACTTCAGAGTCTCATCTGGAAAGAGAACAAGAGAAAAGTACCTAGACCGTGCTGTGCACCTAGCAAACTCTCTGAGCTTGAGATACTCTACTTCGACGAGAGTGATTCGACTAAACTTAAGGTCGCCAGCTGGAAGAACATGAAGGTTCTGGAGTGCGCGTGCTCTTAGAGCTGCCACTTGGGTTCAATTCACCAAAGAGTTTAGACATGAATTTTTTTTTTTATTATCTTCCCTCCCCATCCACCGTTCTACGATACTTTTGTCTTCTTAATCTCATACGTGTAACCCTTGACTCTTTTTTTTTTCTGCCTCTTGTGACTGTGATATTAAACGTACGGGACTCAGCGATGGTGTGGCCTCCACGCCAATTAGATTTTTCTAGGTTCTTTTTAGGAGTTTATCGAGGAGTTTTCCGATTGATGAGGGCTTGTTAATTTATCTGAGCTCCTGCACTTGATCACGGAATCATTAGTCGTTCAATTGTCTGAGGAAGTGGGAAAATTACCTACGTCGAATTTGCCGATCTCTCGGCGATCGGTTTTGAGGAAAGTCACCGATTTTTCATGGAAATGTTAAATCCTCGGTTTTTGCGGTAATTCATGAGTATTTCAGGATTTGATTTGGATTTATTTGGAAACAATCATCAGAATTCCATCAGAATTAATGCAGCGGGAATTGATGCGACGGGAAATCCATGGATTTCCAAGAAAACTAATGAACTTAGAAGAAAATATGATAAAACGTTTTTTGTAGAGAATTTAATGAACAATAAAAATGTCCCCAAGTGTTTTCTTTGAAAATCGATAGTTTTGCAGATAATTCAATGAACATCTGTTGCGAAGTGGTGAACCGCGAGAAGCGCATTATCTTTCGCGGTCAGTTTTTCGCGAATATCACGGGATTGAAGGAAAATGATGATATTTTCATAAATACCTTTTTTGTAGCTTTTATCTTTTTCTACAAAAAATGTCTATGAAAAATCTCGCTAGGTCTCACCGATTCCGAGATATTGGCAGATTATTGGCATTTATCACTTCGCTAGGGAAATGGTTAATTCGATTTATTGAATTTTGTCAGTTCGCCAGTGAATTATTGTGGCTCGAGATGTTGTAAGGACTTTTGGGGGGAGGGTATTTAGTGCAATGATTTGGGGGAGGTGTGGTTTTGTCAATTGTCCACCAGAATATGCCACTTGCCCGCTGGACTCCAACTGGACTATTTATGTCCCGGAGACCGCTCCCACGGTTTATCCACAGTGTACATATTTATTAATTTATTTTAACGTTTACGGTCATTTAGCGGTTTGAGAAATTTATCATGCGCAAGTCTGGTTTTTTATTGGAATATTTCAGGTCGAGTTTATATGTTTTTACGTGTGTATGTGTAATGTGTATTTAGGTATGTAGTGAATCTCATGGAGAGAATTATCGGGAGTTATTTTTTTTGCAACTCCAGACCATTCAATTCGGATGGAATTTCATAGGGAATTTATTGTTTCATTGATATTAATAAAAATATGAGATTTTAAAATTTCTGCGTTTGTTATTTTTATTCACTGATTTTTCCTTCTTGAAACTAGTTTCATTGCGAGACTGCAAAGTTATGGATTTATTTTCATTGAGATTTTCCTCGATTCAGCTGTTGATTAATTCTTCGATGAAATATCGTCCGTCATTCTTGGAGGGAGAGAATTATTTTTAATTCAAGGCTCTCGAGGAAAAGTCCTTCGACAATTTTTTATTATAGAATTTGAAAGTTATCGTCTTTCTCCTCCCGCCGCGATTATGATAACCAATTGATTTTCCGTTTTACCGGCCGTCAAGAGGATAAATCATTTCTCTGGAGTTCTGCAGATGGAGTTAGTGACTGGAATTGTCTCTCGGCGCGAAAAAATAAATTAAATAATCAATGACCCACTTTGCATGACTTTCCCTCCTACATTGTAGTTGTACTATTTCGTAGATAATTATTATCGGAGGATTTGCAAAAGGTGCGAGTGGCAGAATTTTGCAGGTACCCGCACATCGAAACTCATCCATTTGGACGAATGTTATCAAGAAAGCTTCTGAGTTGAACAAACAGAATTGCTCGCACCAGAAAAGAAATGATCAAATATTAATAAACGATTTTATCTCTCGATTAATACCCCGAGGTATTTCTCCTCAATTTCACAAAATTCATTCCGTAATTTTTACTGCAAAATTTTTACTAAAAATATTATTATTTCTCATCATTTATAATTCTTAAAAATAAATTGTAATATAAATTATATGTTTTTATAAATTTTCCGATGGGGATATTATCACCATTAACTTATTTTCAATTATTTTTCTCAATGATCGAGAGAAGGGGAATGAATTTAGATGCATTTTATTAATACTGATTTTTGATAGATGATTAATCAGTAATTTATGTAGATCACAGAGAGGATTAATTAGTTTGAGTAATTAGAAGTAATTTTTATCGGAAGTTTCGGGGGTTAATCGACTCTTTATTCACACGATCACACAATTTTAATGGGATGAATCGATTGAATCAGAAAGATCTCGAGTGAATCCCCTGGGGTGGATCCAGCGTGAGAGGTCCAGAGATCGATCTCGGCCGCATTTACGGAGACGCCTCGGAGGAACCAAACGAGTTTGCGCTCGCACGAAACGATCGACCTCTTGAACCCACCCGCGAGACAATCGTTCCTTTCTTCGATACCTCGAAAAAAAAAAAAAGAAATTAAAAAAATCATCTGACTACCCGGGGCGATAAAAAATAACCGATAAAAAAATACCTGGCGCCAGTAGGCGACGAGGATGACGAGCTCCACCGAGTGATTCCACGGTATGACTTATTCTCGTTGGAGTAAACAGGAGTAATCAGGAGTAATCAGGGGTAATCAGGAGGAAAGCCTTGGGATTGTCACTTCAATGATTATCAAGACTGTTCGGGGAATCGATTTTTTTCTCGATAGTTTTTTGAATTCAGGGGAATCCCGGGATTTTGGAATGGGAAATCGAATATTTTCTGGGAACTAACGTCAGGGGAAGTCATCTCTGGAACCTATTGTTTCGCGTTATCACTAGTCTTTGTCTCTTGATAAGAATATTATCAACAATTTACCACCAGCGGGGACTGTCATTTTATTAACTATTTGGACGATAAATATTTACGTATTCACGTCATTCGGACTCCGATTCACAGAGAAAAAATATGGTTTATTAAATATTGTTGTGGTAATTGATTAAATATTTTATGCACATCGTCGAGATCATCTGGAGTGGATTCAAGTCGAGCTGTCAAATTATCCGTGTGAAGCAGCTGTTAAAAATATTGACAGCAGAAGGTTGAGTTTAATCTTGAGATATGATGTCATCGCTTGAATAATAATTACAATTATGAACTTTCCTTGAGACAATCAATATCATTACGGCAGTTGAAGTTGACGCTCGTCTGTAAATATTTTCAAATCTCCAATTGCGCTGTTAGAAAAAAAAATTCAATTTCGGATTTCACTGAAAATTCAGTAGAATATTATTATTCATTAATATATAGAAAATTCCTTATTTTATTTAAATTTATAATCCAATATGGCGATTCGTTGTCAAATTGCATTAAATTTCCAATCAAATCGGAAATTTCATGATTTTTTCAAATTCAAAAATTGATTTTTCAGAATTTTTTGTTGTCTATTCGTTTCGAGAGGAAATAAAACGGAAATTTATAGTTTTATTTCACTTTTCCACTAAATTCTGAGTTTTGACATTTCAGTGGAATTTTCATGCGATAATAATTACCGGAACTCGCTGCGGAAAATTCAGATATTTTTTAACAGTGTGTTCTCCAACTGGGGGACAGATTCATGTCGTACATCAAAGTCAACACTTTGTCGCGCCTGTTTTTTATATAAATACTTGGTACAAGCAGTGCCACTGCATTGACATACCGGCTCCTGTCACTGACAGTACTAGGAGAAGATCAAAATGAAGAGCTCTATTCTCTGTCTGACGCTAATTCTGACGCTCGTCGTCTTCATCGGCTCCACTGGTAAGTACTATTTTCTATTTACTCGTGGCTTTGTGATAATAACCTTGAGGATAATTGACAATTACTCCATTTATTCCGTGTAAGTGAGTTAGAACTGTCAATCTTTGTCAAACTGTCACGGCGCAGTGACACTAGAAGGAATTGAATCATCAGTTTTTCGGAGATATCTCCAAAATTACGAGGAATAGCGAAATTTTCAGTTAAATATTTTTTGTAGAGGGGATTGAGAACTATAAAAAAGGTGGTGACAAAAATTTCGGTATCTTTTTTAGTTTATGAGATATTTTTAAATTAACTAAAGCGGCGGGGTAACAGGTCAACAAAAAATTATTGATTACTACAAATATCCCGTCAATTAACTTGATTTTTTTGCAATTAATTAACGGTTCAATTAATTAATTAACAGGTGCTGAAGACCAGTGTGCAAGCCACAACTGTCTCCCCCCAAATCAATGCAAAAGTTTCGCACAATATGGAAATTGTCCGACAAGAGGGCATTCTTGTTGCAAAGAAGGTAACTATCCCCGAAAATTCGTCCTAAAAATATTAATTAAATAATTAATTAATTGTTACAGTCCGCCCGGAATTTCGAAAGGCCTGTCGTCATTTCGGGGGCGAGTGTGTGACACATCAATGTAATCAACGTCTTATCGCACGTCAAGCCCTGGATTGCGGCGCCAATGAGGTGTGCTGCATCCTAATTACAAAATAATTAGTAAATTGTTAATTAATAAGTCTCTTAAACTACCAAATATAATCAATTATTACGGCAACAATATTCATCATTTCGCCAACTCTCAGGAATTTTTCTCTAATAAAAATAATAAATCAATAAATATTTATTGAATTGAATTATACAAGTTATTGAATAAAACCTGAAGATCCAAATGAATGACTACTAATTAATAATCAATACTAATTATTATTAATACTTATCAACTTAAAAATGAAACACTTGAAAAATGTAGGATAAATAAAAATTGAATAATTAATCATTATTAAAATTAATAATTATCGTATTAATAAAGTCCAAACAATAAATAATGACTCCATCTTTATTATTTATTATCTATCCAGAAAATCCCGGATGATCCAAGATGAATTAAATAAATTAAATTATTAAACAAATTAAATAAAAATAATTTTACGCAGTACAAATTAAATCGCAGTCTCCTGCATTAATCATTAAATTAAATTCATTACCGAAAATTATATCCGGAGTAATTAATACTGGATTCCCCCCACACGCCTGAGCGTTATGTTAATTCACTTGTCCTTAAAGATAATGAGTGAAGCTACTGTGTTGCCATAATTGTTTTAACACACATAAACTCTGGATTTTCCCGCTGATACCATTGCACGTACGTCAAGCCGACACTTGCGCAATTTTTTTATTCTATTGTAGCACAAGCTGTTGAGTGCAGAGCAAAAAGAGAATTCAAGATGAATCAATCAATTACTCTCGTCACACTCGTTCTAGGAATCACTGCTGTCATCTGCACTGGTGAGTCATTGATTTACATTTCCGATTATTTTTGCAATTCTCTGTTGAGACGTATTTTCGCTGTAAAATTAAAAAAAAATGGTCGAGGTATTGCATCTTTATTACCGCATGCAGGCGGTTTTTTTTTTTTCAATTTCCTGGAGATAATTTATCTTAAACTCTAGAGATCAGACTAGTGCAAATGGCCTTGGAGAATATTCTTTTCATGGTACCGGGGGTTTTTAAATCGAGAGGTCTCGGGGGGAGAACCTACTCTTTGATCTTCAACGATAGACAGGGGAAGTGAGACCTGGTGTTAACTCTCCCTCCGGATTTGAATTGTTCGTCTTCTTTAATACCCCAGTCTCTTCCATTGACTTTACATTGCGAATTAGTTCAATGAACCGGAAAATCGGAGTCATACTCATTTTTTTTGGATTACTATAAAGTCCCCTAGAGTAAACCCCCCTGAAAAATCCGGACAGATGAAGTTCTTTGATGTTCGAACAGAAATTCGATAAGGAACTGCTGATAAACTGGAGAAAACTCATTCTTAATTTGATAAAATGGTTTCTGTAATCCAGAAACTTTTATTCTAATAGCAATTTTTTCGCAGAAATTGAGGAGATTATTTACTCGTCTTTATGATCTATGAGATGATTTTTTGGGAGTTGTTTTTTGTCGCAGGTGCTGTGGAGATGTGTCCAGAGGAGAATTGTTTGGCTTCTGATAAATGTGAAGAGATTGTGAAGGGCGATATGAAGTGTCATCTTCAGGGGACGACTTGCTGTAGTGTAGGTGAGAATAAAATAAAATCAGGTCTGAACTTCTGAGAAATCATTTGAAATCCACAATCATTGTGTGATGATTTATGACAACGAATAATGAATAATAATAAATTTGGAATTCTGTTGTGAAATTGTAAATTATGATAGGGATTTTTTTTCGAGGCCAGTGTTTTGCAAATATCTCGGGATTGAAGAGAGATGATGATTTTCACATAGAAACCTTTTCTGTAGCTCTTATCTTTTTCTATAAAAAATATTTTAACAAAAAAATCGCTATGTTCCTCCAATTCCGAGAGATCGGCGAAAAACTGGCCTCCAAATGAATTACCATGGATATTGGATATTCTTTCAACTCCGAAACCTGGAGAACGCCATAAAATTTCTAACCGATCATTCCTCAAATGTCTCTTGAATACAGAGTGAAATCCCAGATTTCTCTTTTTAGAACTCATAAAAATCAGCAAAACACCAGCTGTCGGTTCCCGTTAAAACCTAAACCTTGAAAGATATTTAAATGATTTCCAAATCCGTTCGGAGTTCTTCTCTCTTCATCACTTGAATTTCTCTGAATTCTAGTAATTTCCGAATTTCAAACGCACTGCAGGCATCACGGGGGCGAGTGCATGAAGACCTGCTCCTCGACTCTAATTAGAGAAGTAATTGACTGTCCGGATAATGAGTACTGCTGCGTGTTGGTCTGATAAAAAAATTCCCACCAATCGTTTTCCCTGTCTTGCCAAAAATTTCCCCTCACCTCCAGAAATCCCGTACATCACTCCCTTCTCAATCCTGAAAAAAGAATAATTAAATAAATAACTAACAACAACAAAGACCAATCGACTTGTTTACTCATTCAAAATATTGACATAATCAGAAAATTCTGGCCATCTCCACTCGAAATAATTCCCTCCAACACTCCCCCCTTCAGCGTGTCCAGAATTCCTAATAATCAATCAGCCCCTAATAGTTTTTCCTTCCTTTTTAAATAATAATTAAAGAACAATAAGAGAAAGTGACTTGGGGAAAAGAGGAAAAGAGGAAAAGAGGAAAAGGGGAAAAGAGGAAAAGGGGAAAAGGGGAAAAGGGAAACCCTGTGTTGGTGGGGTGTAAGAAAAATTTCAAGTGGATTCTTCTGGGATGTGGAGAGAAAAGCAAAATAGAGAGCGACGGAGAAGATGTCGATGTAGGTGGCGAGGGGGTGGGCAGAAGAGGTTGGTGAGGGGATGAAAAGAGGAGGGAAAAGACAGGGGATACTGATGTGCCCGAGGCAATGCAGGCAGACACGAGGTAGAGCCATTTCGTTAGCCCGGGGCAAGGCGGGAATCATGCCGCGCTTGGAAGGATGCCGTTGAACGAAAGAGGCGAAGAAGAGGATGAGGATGAGGATGCCTCGGGCTGGGACAAGGTTGGTCGGTGCGGGTACGGAAACAGTCGGGAGATAGTGCGCGCACAGCGCTGGGGGTTGTGGCATAGCTCCAGGCCCATCCAGATGCGAAGTGGTTGATAGGTAGGGGGTGAACAGGGGGATTATGCCTCAGGGTGGGAATGAGACAATGCAGGCCTTGTGTCCTGGGGCTGTACGGTCGACCAAGGCCCTCTACGACGCTCACAGAGCCATAACGATGCCCTCGGGGTAAACCCCGTCGTGGGCTACAGCGTCGGATGGAAAACGATAAGCACCAAATGAAATATTAATGAACCCAACTGCACACTCCAACTCTATGACATTTAGCACTCGATATCAAATTTCAGGTCTAGGGAAATAAAATTGTTATGGGTAATTGCAAATTGGGGGGAGGGGGATGGGTGTATGGGGGAGGGTATGGGGTATGACGTGGTTTGATGACAATTTTTTTGATTTTTTGGGTTCTTTTTTTTTTTTGCTGGAGGGATTGGGGATGATTTTTGGTTTGAGGGAGGGTGATGGCGGTGGGAGTGGGAGTGGAAGGGGAAATAAGGGAATGCATGAACACAGACTGGTGGATTTTTCTAGGGGATATGAATGTGAGGTTTATCCCGGCGGGCAATTCCGTAATTGCAAGGAAAGATGAGGGAAATGCTCGTGGAGTGGGATCTCGGAGATATAAACCCCGAGACTTCATATCCCACCTTGGGAGGAGGCGATATCAGGGTAATGCCGCCCCCGCGAGCCAACACCACCGTTAGGGGGCCCTCCAGAGTGAAGATTCTACGAGTCTATCTCACTTCATCGCACGATCTTCACGAGTCGCCGGGGGACTAGTGTTTGTTGGGTAAAAATTGAGGATTTTTCTTGTTTTTAAATAATTTTTCAGGGATACCGGTTGAATTGGAGGGGGAAATTGAATAAATGAAAGACAAACAGTGAAATTTCGAATAGTATTGAAGTTCAGAATCGAAATTCCCATCATTTCAGTGGAAAAAATGAATTTGTTTATAGATTTCAGGCATTTTTTTATGATCCAGTGAATTTTCGAAATTTTTTTCAAGTAAATTCAGTTGAGTCGAGGGAAATAAGTGAGAATTACTCACGCCATTTTTCTTCTCAGTTGAAAAAAATGAAGACCAGGCAATTTAAAAATCGAAATTTCTGTGGAATTTATTAGAAAAAATTGCTGGAAAGGTAAATTCCAGTAATTTATTACTGATAATCTCCTAACTTTCAGCAGTTAATTATAGTAAATTAAAAGACTCAACTTATCACGACGAAAAAAAAATAAATAAATGAAAAAATAAAAAAATTGTAGTCGCAAAACCGTAAAAAGTCCATATTTACCAAAAATTACGGAAAAATAGATAAATGGTAGTAAATGTTAAAAAAAAAAAGTCAACACATTGAAAGAGGATGAAAGAAGTAAACTCCAAAGGAAAGGCGCAAAAAGAATGATTTCCAATGGAAATGTTGGAGTCTGAGCCTTGAAATACGTAATAAGCATGATTGTCGGTACCGCAAGGCTGGATATCCACTGGGAGGTGGGTGTTTACACCCTGAGGTGCATCCCACGGCCATCCACGGTCTCTCTCACGTGAAATCTACCCTCTCTCAACGCAAAACTCGTAAGACCTCGTGTTTTATTCTTACATAAGGTACCAAACGTGTAGCAACCTCGAGGGCGCATTCCCTGGACGGGGCCCGGTCTCTCAAAATGATTCACAGCCCCAGGTAATTTACATTCGCTTGCGTGGGTGATCGCTCTCGCTGTACCTTCGTAAATACCCCTCTCCACCGAGCCCACCGAGCTCCCAGTGAGAAAAGGTTAAACATACACTCGAGAAAACAGCGGATATCAGTGGATTCGGATGGATAGCTCCGACACGCTTCGGTATATCGAGGTATCGAGGGTGAAAACAATATTTTACTGAAAAATCTATTTTTATTTTTTGTCTATTCATTTCAATTGTCAATTCGTTGAACTACTCTGCATTATCATCGATTTATGCTATAAAATTCCCGTATTTTTATTTCAACCGATTTTATCAGGAATTTAGTAAATTATTCTGGAATGTGTCCTTATTTTAATTGAAAAAACGATTTCACTCCTAGATTTTCATCAATCCATTCTATCATGAATTTGAAATACTCTGCATTATGTTTCATTTTTGCAATAAAAATCGTGAGTTTGCGAAATTACAATAATTACAATATTTCAGAGATTAAATGAATCGAAAATTTTTTTACATACAGAATAAAAATGGCAAATAACCGGGAGATTTGAATTTTACAGGTAAAAATTCCCCGCGTACTGACTAACAACCACAACTCTGGTTTTTATTTACAATAAAAAATCACTCGAAATTATAGGTATTCACGAATCGAGAGTTTCCGTTCTCATTAGTTATGATCTAGGATTTATTCCTCCAGGCGATATGCCCTCCTCCCCCTACCTCCACGGGGGGTAAATTATATTATTAAGAAAAACGAAGAGCTGTCTGAAAATTGTTATTAAAAATTAGATGTATGTACAGGGTAATTCTGATCTAATCGGAATTATTCGCAAGGCTGGATGGCGAAAATAGGAAGGGAAAAAGAGATGAATGGCCCTGAGCTAGCACGGACTCCCGGGGAGTTCGATGGTTAGGATGATAGGGTATTCTCCCTGATCGGTGGGGAAATCCTCAGATATATTTTAATGCCTCGAGGAAAGAAGTACAGAAAAATGCTGTCTCGTATTACGGAGGGATAGCCCAAGGGCTCCACGACTTTTTCCCCGAAATGTCAACGACTATTTCGCTTCGATAGTTCCACCGATTGTTTTCGCTTTTAAATTTCGCGGCATCGTTTAAACTTCATCCGATGAGTTCCATAACTTCTATCACCAATGATAAATTCCGAGTTGACACCTCAAATAAAAAAATCTCCACCACTCATCATTGTTATTAATAATAATTAATAATAAATGAATATTTCCGTTTACCTTCGATGGAGTGGCAGTGATTTTAGTTCGACGAATTAATTCTTTCTTGGCATAATAAATAATTCAGCATTGAGAGCTGACCCGTGGCAATTTTCCTGTAGGATGTAAAAAAGGGTGTATCAATTTTTCTTTTTTTTATCAGACGTACGTCGATGTTGCAGAGAGATACGAGAGTATAAAAAAGCCCCGCAAGGAAGGCTGATGGCCTGTGGGTGAAGGCGACCCGTTTGAAAGACACGTCGAGAGGACGAGGGGTGAAAGAGTGAAAAGTGTAAAGGGGGTAAAAAAAAAAGAGATAGTGATAGCTCGCCCTAAAATATGTGGAGCCGAGGGCGACTCGGACTCTCATCGTTACATCCTGGCGGCCCTGGGGCAATCCTCCAGTGTACCAGAGCCGCCTCCTCTGGTAAACCGTATGATACAAAAACCTCGCATTATTTTTCGAGGAGACCACCCCCCGGAGGGCCTCTGTGACCGCCATTACCTCCCAAAGACGCCCGACTTATCAGCAATGAAAAATAAGAGAAATTACCAATAATAAAAATGCAATTTTGCGGGCTCCTCCGACGCGAGATCTCTTCCACTTAACGCAGTCGACAGCTGGAAATAATAATCCTGGATCAATCATCGGACGAATTGACTCAGGAATTTTGGGCCACTTGAATCAGAGGGGAATTACCATTTTGGGACTCATACGATTTGGCAGTTGGTGACATTTCGCGGGGAGTGTCGTAGGAATTTTTTATTGAATGAGTTTGAATCCTATTTTTATTACTTGACGATGCTTGACTCAAGTATTATTAATACTTTGGAAGTGTATGTGTTTGAATTGATTTTCTGGACTTGAAAAATTGACACTTGAAAAATTTATTGAAAAATTCAGAAATTTCGCGATAATGAAAATTCCCGAAAAGTGGAGAGTTCTAATTAGCGAACCTCCCGCAGATCCTTAATGAGGGCGAATTAACCCTTAAAGTAATAAATGGAATAACTTAAATTTTTTTTCCACTATGTGACCCTTAATCACGTGAAATTTTCCAGGAAGTTTTCCGGGAGAATCAAGTCGGGAAAATCAACTTGAATTAAATCGACTTGCCCTTCAATTCAAGTCGCACATTAAAATCAAGTTGAAACTTCGAATTGACTCAAAACTTGATTCAGGGTGGAGTGTCTGTGAATAGATCAATGTTAAAGTAGATAATTCAGGAATTTTTGTCTCTGACGAATTCCCCGGTGGTGGTTACGTATGTGATGCACCTAGTTGCGTTGGCGGTGGGTTTGGAAGTGCCTGGGGCACTTCTGAAACGATGTTGTCGGCCGTGGCCGTTGGCCCCTGCGGCCACGACGCTCGATACGACAGTGTATGGACGATATTTTCCTCTTCCTCGTGTTTACTTCGAGCTGGCCCTCACTGCGGATCCCTCTTTGGTGCATTATTCCTGATGGCCAATGGCATCTCCCACTCTCTCTGGATATTTTACGATGTGGCGCTCCTCCGGGAGTTTATCGCAGTCCAGGGCTAATTGGTCAGTCGAATTTTGGGATTCGAGGGGATCGAGTTAAGCGGTTTATTGCGGGGGTTAACGGGTTTCAGGGTGGAAAATTGTGGCCTCGTATTGCTTGGGAATAGCTCTTGAAGAAGAATTAAACAACGATCAGGATGGCGGTGTAAATCAAGTTGAAAAATCGGTATTCAGACAGTTGGAGTCAATCAAGTGGTGAGTCGAGTTGATTTGTGAAGAATTGACAGCTTAAACCGAGTTTCATTCGGAGGGATAAAAATGAGATTGATTTAAAAAAAAAATAGACATAAGAAAAGGAGGGATCAAAATGTCGGTTTGATTTAATTCCATTTATCAACTTGATTCAACTTGATTTGTCCTCTTGAAATTTGAATCAAGTAGTCTTCAACTTGATTCAACTTGATTTGTCCTCTTAAAATTTGAATCAAGTAGTCTTCAACTTGATTCAACTTGATTATCCGGTTTGAAGTGTTTATTCTCGAGATAAAAATCTTTTCCACTCATATCATTTCATAAATTGGAATGAAATAAGTCCGAGTCATTCGACTTGAATCGAGTCAATTCTTCAACTTGATTCAACTTGATCATCCAGTCCGAGACACTTGGAAAAAAATTCTCGAAAACCCTTTTTCCCGTCACATAACGCCATAAATCATAATCAATGAACTCCAAATGACTCAACTTGATTCAAGTCCAAGCATGATTTGTTCCGATGAACGGTACCTCTGGAGATAAAAAAATAGGTGTGGTAATGGGGTTCTCGAGGAAGCGATGGGGGTCGACGGGGATGAAGCGGATGGAGAAGTAATATTCAATAATGAATCGTGAAATTTGACGCGGTGGCGAGCGCCAGGGCAATCTCCCAGGCGCCCAGCGCCCTGCGCCCTGTACCCTTCCACTTCTTCGTGATCGAGGCGCGAGTCGCACAAGTCCTTCCTTTTTTTTTTTTATTTCTTTTTCGATTCATTCCAGTACAAACGATTGTGGAAGGGGGGGATGAAGGCGACGTGCGCGCGTGCTCAATAGTTCCAGCAAATGTGCCTTCAGTTACTGAGAGACCGTCGAACCGCGCGTTTCGCACACACCGGGTACCACGTGACCATCCACCCCACGTGGTGAATTGAACCGATTATTTTTAGTGGGTGAATTCAGTGATTGGGCTAATTGAGGGTCAAAGTGAAGCTGGAATCGAATATAATCGACAACGTGGAGGAGACTAAATCCGTCAACCTGGAGCCCGCTTGTCACAAGAGGTGAGATATCCAGAAAAAAAATGTATCGATTCGGTAAAACTCGATTTTATCCGGTAATTGGGGTAGAGTATTTTAATTGGTGGTGTAAATAATGGGGGAATGGCTCAATCGGCTACAAATCTTGACAAATGGCGCTATTACTTGGAGATAATCGAGGATTATCGAGGAGTTGTGAGTCACGGATTGGAAAGGCGTGCGATAATTAATAAAGCGGGGGAATCGATAAATCAATTTGATGGCGCGGGCTTTCTTCCGCGGTGTCGGGAACTTTCACGGTTTGAGCTCGCGGAAATATTTATCCATAGGGATTCACGGCTACTCTATCGTGACCTGTGAACCTGTTGTTGGAGGGTAATTATCGGTGGTAATTAGAGGGATTGCTCAGGCTTCTTCGGTTGTCTGATGGGTTATCGGGATTCTCCGGGTGGCATTCTATTTTTATTTACTCTTTCTTTCATTGAGAGAATTAATTAGTTTCATCGGATTTAATTTAATTTTGCAGAATCTATTCCTGTGAATTTTCAGGGGATGCGATATTTATTAATTACAATTCTATGAATTTTTTAATTAAAAGGGATTGTAATAAATTTTGAGGAATTCCCGGGGGTTCTTTTGGTTTTGTGGAATAATTGAAAATTTCCCGTTTCAAGAATTTATAGGCGGTGATAATCAATTAATTTGTTGTGCAATGAGAAATGCACTTTCTCATTTTTCATATCGGGTGTAATTCTCTTCTCCCATCATGCAAATTATTCTCAAAATTAATGACATTTTTCTACCCATCTCTTTCCAACACTCAAAGAGATCCCGCCGATAACTCCCGATCGATCGATTTTGCCTCGTTCCCCGGATAAAAATCCCCAACTTTCACAAAAATAATAAATTCCAGGAGATTTTTTCCCGACACTCAACCACCGAATTAACGAAATTTTTCAACTCCAACATCCGGAATCCATTGGATCATTCGGTCTGATGGCGAATGACCGATCGCCCGGAGGGTCAATCCCCGAGGCAATCCCCTGGCAATTGCCGTAATTAGTGAACCTATTCTCCTCATCCTCATCTCAAATTTATTCATGAGGGGCCCGACATTCCTCAAGCCCCCGAAGACGTCGCACATCCCCAAAAAACGTAAACAAACAACTCCACGAAAAAAAAAAAAAATCCAATCATTAATTAATCCTAAACATGTCCCTGAACGAGGTCAACTCGTCACTCACCCGAGGCATCCAAAAAAAAAAGAAAAAACTTAATTAAACTCGAGAATACCCAACCTGGGGAATTAATTTCCTCTTCCACGAGGGAAATGTGGAGTCGAGCACTGAAAACGGAAAGACTGGGGGCCGAGTCCCGAGGGCTCTCATATTATTTTCCCTTCTGGTCCTTTTATTTTTCCTTTTTTTCCTTTTTTTTCCTTTTTTTTCTTTTCCGTGACTGTAAGAAGTTCTTCAAATTTACAAGAGGAAGGGAATAAAAAAAAGTGAGTCGGGGTTTAAAAAATCGGTGGTACGTCAGGGAAAGACGGAATAAAAGAGGGGACGGAGGGGTAGAGGATGGGGGGGGGGGGGGGGGGGGGGGGGGGGGGGGGGGGGGGGGGGGGGTAGGTATTCCTTGGCTGGTGCCCTGAAGGAAAGAGGAAGGGAAGAATTTTGTTGAACCAAGGGCAGATGGAAAGAACCGAAGGAGATGTAAGGGTGGAAGGTTGGAAGGGGGTGGTGGGAGGGGAAAGGGGACTGTGGGGTACGTCGCACTGTTGGAACCCCCCGGGGCATGTGGCCTGGGGCCCGGACGAGCTCCACAGCTAGTGCTCTCAGTTGCCGTAATTAGAACAGATGCCCCCCAGGTATTTCCCTCTGGCTGTACCCGAGTCTCTGGTGAATCGAAATTATTCATGAAACATGCCCCACAGGTTTTTTTTTTATATATATTTCATTTATTTATCGAGAAATACTTTATTTACGCACAGGGATTTTGGATTATGGGATTTCCTTCGGAAATATAGGAGTTGGGGTTTTGGGAAAATTTTTAGGGGTGAATCTGGGGGTTAATTAGGGGAGGTTGTGATTTTCGTTTAATTGGGATTTTTGGGGGTGAAACTGGAGGTACGTGGAATTTATTTCGATTTGAAGGGAATATTGGGAAGATTGTCATGGACTCATGCGGATGAATAATTAATTTTCTGGTGGAATCAAATTTAGTTCTGAAAAAACTCGATAAAATATTCAATTAAATTGAATCGTATCTCATAATTGAATAAATTCCATTTCAATAATTGAATCATGCTTTATAATTGGTTTTGCAAGTTGTTTGAACCAATTTTAAACAATTCTCACATAATCTTCAATTGTTGTCAGAAATACTCTGCATTAATTTTTTAATCATTCTTACGTAGTCCCCTACGATTGGCAATTCAATTGATTTCAGAATTATTTTTAAACAATGTTTTAATAATTTTTACGCAGCCTCCAATTGTTATCAGAATTAATTTGAATGAATTTTAACCCAATTAACCGACAATTTCCAATCGGTGTGAAAAGTAGTTGAAGTTCTCCGGAGTCAGTACAGATTAATAATATTTTTCCATGTCCTGAGTTTCCGTTTGCGTGGTTAAGTAGGTGAGTAAGTGGAGTTGGACTAGGCGAGGATGAAATGGAGCAAGACATGCATTGGCGCGTGTCGGGAGTGCCTCCGTGCGTCTAATGTCGTGCCAAAAAGGAAAATGTGAAAAATGATAAATGAATGGAAAAAGAGGGGATAGAAGTTATATCGGTGTAACCACTCGTCTCGTTACTTGAGCCTATGTTTCACTGGGTCTCTCACTGTTCCGCATTATACAGAACACATCGTGTGCCCGTACACAAGGTACAAACCCGATGAGATTTACCGCCGCTTTCCGTTCTTGTACAACATGCAGACCTGCACTGCTGCATGCTGAGTCTGCGCTGCACTGCTTGCATAGGTCACGCGTTACGAATTTCACTGTGGAATGCTGGGATTTGCTTAATGATATATACCTCGGGATATTGAAACAAGAGACCGAGTGAATGTTATTTTCCTCTCTAGTTTATATAGATTCGCCAACTTCGCATTTTTATCTAGCTAAATCACCGCAGTCTAGCGAAAGTCAAATCATCCGATTTTTTTTTTCCCTCTCGAACTTTTTTTGGGGTTCAATTCAATTTCCAGTCCTGTAATTAAATTACTGTAATTATTTGTGATTGATGTTTTATGAGATCAATTGTTATTATGAATTATTGGTGTTTTGTGGGATTATGTTATTGTTGGTTGCAATTGCTTGTTAGTTAAGGCGATATTTTATCTTTTTTTATCGATTTTCATTTTATGTGATTCCATTTGAATTTAAATATTCTAATTATTATAATTATTGTGAGTTTACTTTATGATGCATTTTATTGATTTGTCGGTTGAAGAATTTGGAATTTAATTTCAATGGAGAAATAGTTGAGTATTCAAGAAATTTACTGAATTATATTAACAGAATTGCAATTAAATCCGAAGAAAACCTGAAATAAATTTGAAAACATCTAAAAACGGAAATAAAAAATCAAGTACAATTATTGTCGCAATGAAAGACGAGAGAAATCAACAGTTACAGTTGCAATATCAATATTTTCGCGTACGATCGGCAATTTATTTCCCCACTGATTATCAAATGTTGCCGGCAAACGCAAAAGCCCGTCGGGGGGTGGGATAAGAGGTGAATAAAGCGAGGGACATGGAAGGGAGACTAACCACGAAGACCGCAACAACGGGTTTAACCCCGAGGGGAAAACCAACCCGTAGTAGGTCCAGGTATGAGAGAAGAGTAGAAACGCTTCAACGTTTTTACAATGCCCCCGGCGACGACAACTCCGAGGCGATATTCCCTACCACTTTTCTCTCTTTGTCTTACTTGGCATCCGCTGCATCTTTTTTTTATGTATAATATATATGACGACCGATACATAATCCACCTCTTTTGAGGTTGTATCTCACCATTCCACACTGTTGCCAGTATTCTACATATGTATGTTTGGATGGTACGACGAGAGGACATCGTTTGCCCCGGGGACCAAAATTTTTCGTTCGTCCTAAAATGCAAATTTCGCTCCTACAGATGACCCATCCGTAATTATCATTTTTTTTTTCAGGTTTATTTCTTGCTTTTTTCATCATGAATTCTCCGACATTTGCTCATCATTACTTTTTCCATCAATTCTTCCTCTTTCTTCCTCTTTTTTCCCTTCCACCCCTTCCACCCCTTCCTGCTCCTTCCACCTCTTTCCACCCCCTTTTTTCAACTTTTCACCCGATTTTTAACGATTAAAACAAAATTTTCAACGACTCATCGTCCATTTATTATTCATTCTCATCGTAATTGTTTAATATTCGACGTCAGAGTTGCATCGACCCATTATTTTCGGGGGCATTTCGCTAATGGCTAAATGTTATTTACGATGTTTATTCAGTCGATTTATAAATACCATTTGTTTTTAATTTATTCAATGTATTGGAAATTTCACCGCAACCGCTCGACCATTCGGTGAAATTGTTTTTTTTTTTACTTTTTTAATTAACGGGGGAAATTTATAATTTGCCTTTTTGCGGTTCGTGGAGTGGATCGGGTTTTTCGCTCGGGTGTTTTTGGGGGACTTTTTTAATTGGTATAAAAATTGAATTGTTGTGGTTACGCCAATGGTTTAGTTGCATGAGAGATCGTGTTGTTCGTGGGCGGATGAACGTTCTCCATCACCATTCACGACTTAGAGCAGTAAATAAAAGTCGCTCAAATCGTAAATCCCCTGGGTATATACCACGTCTTCATATATTCGAGGTGAAGGCATGTATCGATGTTAACACGAACAAAAATTATTAAAAAGGCGGTTTATAAGGCAGTTGAATTTCCCGTTAAATCTCGGTAAGAAATTATGCGAAAATTCTCGGCGTTAAATAATTTTTATGGAGATAAAAAATACTGAGGAACTCCTCAAGTTCTCATTAAATATGTACCAGTGTAATTCTCGGGGTTGAATTATTTTAGAGAATAAAAATTAATCGCTGGAGAATTCCACTTTTACCGCGAAGAAACATTTTCTTCTCCGCATTATTGCATTTCGCGTATTTAAATAATTACTTTATTAACTCTATTCATTATTCATGAAATCCCAATTAGAAAATTCGTAATGCTAATTAATCCATTCGAACAATTTTTTTTCTACCTCGAGAAATTAATTATAAATTATTAATTCTAATTATTAACCGATCATTCCAGAATTTTCTTGATCTAAAATAAAAGCTAATCAATGCGATCCTAGATTATCGGATAATTAATAATTGAAGGATATTAACGCGTCACCAGATTATTTACCCTGCAAAAAATTTGCGAAATTATTTATTGTCAGATGAGAAATGAGGACTAATTAATTCAATCGTAAAATCTTGGCATGATCAAATACTGTAGTTTTTTTACGCGAGTGTAAAGTGAGACGAATTTATACAGCGAATACAGCGCGTGCCGACCGGTTTTAATCTGCGTGGGTCCCAGATTTATAATCTATGTACGTCAGATCGAATATATCTCCTCCCATTGGATCCCAAATGCTCGACAAACAATTTCCATCTTCATTTTCCCGTTAAATATTGTCACACCGCTAATTGCCTTATTAATACGAGTATGACGTGTTTACACGAGCCCCTGCTAAAGCTCCATTGACTATTCAATGAGCCATGAATACCTCTATTGTTCTCCCCTCATTACCATTCACTATTTTCACGTGTTGAAATTGAGAAGAGATTTTATATTTGCAGGCGGAAATGTGAGGCTGACGGGAAGGAAGTGAAGGCCGAGCTGACGGCCCAACGCAATATGTTTCCCAGCGCTCAAATTAAAATGAGGTAAATATCCTTAATTAATCTAATTATAATATTTAATCAGCCCCTGAACTGACACTGAATGAAATTTCTCCAATTCACCGATTCATATTAGAGTCCAATTATTCAAAACTAATTGTCCATGACCAATTAAATAATTAAATAGTTGATTTTATGGAGCAAAACATTTAGTTCAATTATTATTTCAAATTAATAAATGAGATTAATTGATGGATAGACAAAAAATTAATATAATTCTATTAATATAATTCTATCAGAAAATTAAATTAAACAAATAGTTAATTATTATGTATAGAGATTAGTTTTTGGTGGTACATTTGATAAATTTTTTCTCTCTGATTAATTGATTAGTTATTGATTCTAATATTGATCTAATGTCGAAAGTATATTTGTTAGATTGCTGTCGCCAAGCAGTTCGCCAGCAACATCACCAACGATGTCCAACTCGTCATCTCCAACACCCCCAACCCAACCACCACCCACTTACAATCAGAAAATGACGGGAATCCCCTGCGTCGCCGCAGCTTCCCGTTACACAGCCCCAGTTCACATCGACGTCGGTGGAACTATTTACACTTCTTCATTGGAGACATTGACAAAGTGAGTAACTAACATTTTATTAATAATTTTTCAAACCGGGAATTACAGGTAACAGGTAATGAGGGGAATCCCGTCATTTGATTTGGATTTAATTATAAAATTCCAAATTATATAACAAAAAGAGGTTTTTTACTCAAACATCTTTGAAAATATATAATTCTAAGTTTTTCGGTTTTAATTAAATAATTAACGAGAGTTCAAACATTATTAGGAATAATAAACCATTCAAGACGATATTATTATTATTAAATATAGAGAGAGATATTGAATTTTTCACGGGTGATCAATTAACTCAAGATAATAAATTCTTATTGACTAATTAATCGATAAAATGATTTCGTTAATTAAACTCTGAATTGCGATAGATTTCTATTCGAATTCAATGTGTGACGGTTTGATTTAAATATATAAATGTCGCCGAAATATCGGAAAAATAATGATCGATACCGTTCTCGGAATGGGATACGAAAAAATGTGAAAAAGAACATGAGGATGAGCGTTGCTCCCTCATTATCAGCCATTGACCGTATTTCCTCTGGTGGAAGTTGTCCAGCCTGTCAATATAATTTTTATCAACACTCAGAGTCCCCCTTTATAGCCTCCAAATGATAACAATTTTTCCAACGACCAGTCAAACCGATTATCCCGTTTTTTTTTCTCCTCTCCGAGGTTTCTCCTCTAGCCGCTAGTGTAATTCGTTCTTTTTTTTTTCAATTTGTTTCCGCAATTTCGTTATTCGCGTTGCGTTAGTCATTCTCAATAAGCAATAAAATAACGATCGTAGAACTTCATCTGGCATACATTAATGTTAACATAAGAGACACTCGAGCTTCAGCGATGCAGAACGATTGCGAGATATCCCGTACTAAATTTCTACAACTTCCAATTCACCTATCGCTGAAAACGTACGAGATGCCCGTCCCCTTTCTCGTGAGAGCCTTCATTAGCCTCCGTTATACATATAAACTTTTATTTTATTTTATTTTATTTTCATAAACCAACGGCGATGCCAGCTACACCGGGGGAAAAGCAATACGACAATCCGATTTCACAATAAAGTTATTAGTCCCCTATACCGGTCTTTCACTGAAATTTATTCCCCGATGAAAAATATATTTTAATCACGATATTTAATCAAGTATACTTTATGCTTGATTCAAGTATATTATTTTGGAATATACTATTTTGATAACTGATTAATTTTTGGATTTTCCAATTTTTTAAAGACGTTGTTATTTTTTTTTTCTTTTTTTTAAAGACAATTGTTATTGGTATTGCATTGAGAATTGAATGTGCTTGAATTGGGTGTTAAGTATACTTTGTTCTTGATTTAAGTACATTCAATTTTCAATGGAATATCGATAAAAATTGTTTTTTTTTTAACAGAAATAAATGGTAACAATGGTTTTTTTTATTCCAAATATAAACAAATTGATTATCCATTAAAGTTGGAATTCAAGTTTCAAGTTCCAACATCAATTAATTGATAATCAACTCGATAATTTCCCTTTTTTTCACAATTAGCGCGGGATAATTAAATTGAAAATCAAGTATTTTTTCATTTGTAAATATTAAAATCTTCTGAGCGCTAAAGTTGAGTAAAAAGATAAGGATAAAAAATGTTTCTCCTACCGAAATGATTTTTTTTTAATGTTTTTCTTACGATTTCCTCCCCACCGATGATTTTCTATGATTTTATATGTATTAAAACGAGAGCAGTGCCGATTTCTGAGTGATGTGAGCCGATCGTTTAGCATTTTCCCATAGCTTCGAACGGATCTGACCCGGGATCGGACCTCAGTCTTTTATACATTGGGCCCAACAAATGCCCCGAGGTAATCACGTTCCCTCTCTCTCCCTTTCGTTAACTCTGTCTATTCGGCCCTTTTTCCGATGTTTCTGTCGCTTTTTTTGGGATCATTGTCTGGGGATTATTCGCAGTCTCGTTCTTAGTTGCGAATTATTTGGGGGGAAGCTCTAGATTTTTTTTTTATATTTTTATTTCGGAGATCCGTGTGAATTTCGTTGGGGAGGATTTGTGCGCCGAATTTTTGCTTTGTGTCTCCCATTTCTTTCACGAACGTTTTATTTATAGTATAGCCGAGTCAAGTTGACTCAAGTCAAGTCTTCGACTTGAATTAACTTAAAAAATCGATTGGAATCAAATATTAAGTAAGAGTGATACGATCGGCTAACAGATTAATTCAGTAAATTATTTATTTATAGTGGGACCAAGTCAAGTTGATTCAAATTCATTCAAATTCATTCAAATTGATTCAAGTTGATTCAAGTTCATTCAAGTCATTTCAAGTCGAATCCATTGACTTGAATCAACCGGAAAAATGGACTTGACCCAAGTATCAAGGATATCAAGGAATAAACTCTTAAATCAATCCGCCAGCGGTTATTTTTTGGATGCATCTCTGACACTCAACTTCTAGAGAGAAGGAGAGCCGTGTGAGAAAAAAAAAATATTAAAGTCCTTGAAGGTCGAGTCTGGTGGAGGTATCCCGAGGTACATCCTCGCGAAGTCGAGATGCCGGGGGCATGATCGCGGCCCGTCGTTATTATACGTTATCACAGTGAAAAGGTATGGGAAGAGGCCCCAGGCACCAAATAGGTGGTACCACCCCCGTACCTCTCACACCCTCGCCATCCTGGTGCCATAACCCACACTCTCCTCCCCTATTATATGCAAAATATCCTATAGGTACCGACCTTGATGTCCTCCGGGCGACTTTTCAGTCCTCCAGTTTACCTCACATACAGTTTTACTATTTGCATGCGACACGTTAAGGGCGAGCCAGAGGAAAAAAATGAATTAAAGTATCTCTCATTTCCGTTAGAACTCCAGATGATTAAACCGGACGTTCTCTCTCTGCTATTGCCTCGGGGATTAACATCCGTTCCGCCAGCTTTCACGAAAATGATAGACCGCGTATGTACCTTCGAGACCATCACCGTAGGCACTACGACGAGCAGTTGGCTCAATGGAAATACTTGAGTTCTAACTTTTTTTTTTCTTTCAAATCGGGGTAATCAGGGTAATCAGTAGGTGGACACCTTCGGGCCGCAGATCGTCAGACCGCAATCTGAAAAAAAATCCACCGTATCTGTCAAAATTTAATGAGAAATTTGAGACTTGCTATTATTTTTTACGTTAATCACTGGGAAATCCGTGGATGGGTAATTGTTGGTATTGATTTCAGGGGAATTACTTTTCTGGGGTAATTACCACCTGCACTAGGAATGCAACGAGGCGAGAGGTTTTGCGGCATGAGTGTTAATTGCGGGAAGTAGATCTGGGTGTTTGTGGTCAGACCTTTCGGAATTTTTCGAATTAGCTGCAATTATTATATAATTAATTAAGCAACCAGTGACTAAAGTATTCAACAATAAACATTCCTATATAAACAACTGAACTATTTCAGGTGAAAATATATAAACAATTTATATATGTATATTTATATATATATGAAATGCGCATCGCGTCTCGTGCTAGTCTAATTAAAAATGCATTAATTAACAATTCAATGAATTCAGTTTTAATAGAAAGAAAAATGATACAAATAATAAAAATGAATAATAATAATTGGTTTTAATGGAAATAGTCAAGCTCGTTTTGTTGAGTAATGTAGAAAAAAGATTGAAGTGAAATAATAATAAAGTTTGGTTAATTTTTCGTTGTAAATGATGTCCTGGGGCGCAGCTGAGGGGTGCGCGTGTCCTATTTTCAGAGCGATGATACTAGCCAACGGGTAAAATAGTGCAGTTAATTAAGGTAGAAAAGGAGAAGGTCGTCGTCGTAAGGTGCAACAGCTGCAGAGTTAAAGTTACCCTGAGGGTAAAAATTGTGGCCCTCGGGATATTCTTGAGTGAGCAGGTGCCGATATACTACGGTCATCTCACCTGCCACCCAATTGACTCCTCTACCCCAGAGGCTCGACGAGACACTCATTCGGTTCTCCACCAGAACCTATCGTTAAACTCTATTAAAGTCATCACCGCTGTAATGAAAATAAAAATGAGAAAATTTGTTATTCTGCTTCTAGGTACCCCGAGTCGAGATTAGCTAAACTCTTCAATGGAAGTATTCCGATTATGCTTGATTCCCTGAAGCAGCATTACTTCATCGATCGGGATGGCGGCATGTTTCGACACATTCTCAATTTTATGAGAAATTCACGTTTACTCATTCCTGATAATTTTGCTGATCTTGATTTGTTGCTTGAGGAGGCACGGTATTTTGATATTGGACGTAAGTTTTTTTCTGGTTTTTTAATCTATTGTTTATCCTTTTGTTTTAATTAATTCGATTCGCGGGTTTGTGCATCGATGGGAAATTACACAAGTGGCATTTTAAAAAACTTGGAATCTTTAATAATTGATTAATTAATTTGTTGGGGTCCATGTGACGCTGAAACCGTTAACAAATCATAAATTGAATAGTTTTTCATTGAAATTGAATTTAAACTCGGAAAATTGGAAATTCAGAATATAGATTAAAAAATCGGTAAATTTTCTCAATAACGAGGAGAGAGAATGGGAAACTCTTAAACAACTCGCACTGAAAGCTATTGAATATATAATTAACCGCATGAATATTTTAGCAATTAATTTAATCAAGTTTCCATAATAAAATCACAACTGACAAAATACCGATAAATTTCATAAATTGCAACTAAATAAATACATCGCAATTATTCCAAACTGCAAACCGAACGACATTCAATCAAAAATATTTATAACAATCCAATAATCCCGAATATTGTTATTGATCCCCTAGAGTTATTATTTTAATAATATTAATGATTAATTCCCCGACTATTTTAATGTGTAATTAATGAATTATCGGCAGCGCTGTGCAGACAATTGGAGCAGATGAAGAAAGATCGTCTGAAAAATGGCGCGATGTCGCCCCCAAGTCCACCCTCCGGTCAGACAGGTAGAGGTCCAGCATGTCGTGATGATAAAAAAAGTGGAGAAGCTTACGAATGCGTCGCTCTTCATGTGAGTCCAGACCTAGGTGAAAGGGTGATGCTGTCCGGTGGACGATCACTCCTCGACGAAGTCTTCCCTGAAACAACCCAGGCTGTCATCGACGCGCGTTCCGGTGTTGCCTGGCACCACCAGGACACACGTCACGTCATCAGATTTCCTCTCAACGGTTTTTGCAAGTTGAATTCCGTTCAGGCAATCACGAGACTCCTGAATGCTGGATTTCGAGTAGTCGCTAGTAACGGCGGAGGTGTCGAGGGTCAACAGTTCTCCGAGTACCTTTTCGTGCGCCAGGGGTGCAACACCTGACAGACAACATCCGTCAGCAAAAAAAATTTTTAGATCTCTGGGGGACTGGGGTTTTCTTATTGGCTCGGGTCAACTCGACCCCACCATATTTAAGAGTGTACCTTATGTAATTTATACAATCGACAATTATTCATTAATGTAAATATCAGTTTAAAGAAAATTTCATGTTTATAGGTATATTGATGTACTTGGGTACGAATTGAAAATAAAAATTTATAACTTTCATTGAAACATTTAAATCTCAACCGATGGATTTTTCAACTCAATTGATTCAATCTATTCTCCACAGAATTGTATTTTTGTTAAATTTCCGGATAAACTGGGATGCAATAAAATAGATAAAATAAAAAAATATCGATAACCACATCATCACCCCATCATCCCCTATATAAAAAATTGATTAAAAACAGTGGAGATCATGACGTGTAAACCTAATTCGGTGGTAGAAATGGTTTGAAATTTTTTTTCAAGGGATTGGATTTTTGTTAAAATTCAGGGTGAAATGGGAATGGGGAAAAAGCGTATTAACGCTCCTTGTTGGGAATCGCTGGAGCTTTTCCCCCTGTTGTGTATTTGGACTGACCCAATTAAGGGAATGACAGGTAGGGATTTGGTGCTGTGGTTCTGAGTGCGCCCGGGATAACCAGTAACCACGGTGTAAGGGATAAAGCGAACAAACGTTAGTGCCTGTGGCTAAGTTACTATGGTTACGAGTGAACTCAATATCCGCGTTTACCCCCGCAGGGGTTTAACACTGCCTCTGGCTGTCATCCCTTGGAAAACCCGAGCGAAGCGCCTAGCTGATTATATTCCATTTCTCAATTGCCCCACGGCCACACCAACGCGCCATAGGTCCTGGGGTATATCCTCAATACATCCACCGACACGTGGAGTAGCCGTTGGCGTCAAGCCTTCAAGACAGGTTGAAGCACAGTGAGTTCAGGGGAAATTAATACCCAGGCATTTTGGCTTCATCCGACTGTTTGATTCCACTCCACTCTATTTTCATTTTATTTGAATTCTCTACCCCCTTTGCGTTCGCAGTTTTATCTCCATGATTTGAGTCATTCTCCAGTTTTTCATAACATAATGACAAGAAATTCTCATTTGAGACTAATTAAGATTACAACTGATGAATAACTTATTAATGATTTGATTACTTTTAATTTTTCGTTTTCAATAGTCTTGAATAATTTTTAATAGGTGGCATTTATAGATATTATGGAATTTTTTAAATATTGAATATCAATTATGGAACTGTTGTTATCACACTTGACAGGAGGGATTATTATGAATTAAACAATTCTACAGTTCTTTTTTAATAAATTTACCCGAAGAGGAATGCCTTGAACATTCGAAACGTGCAGTTATATTGTTGGGATCTTCTTCAAATTTTTATAATCATCTTTAATGAAGAATTTGAACAAATAAAATAGATAATTCGAGAGTAATGAGAAGAAAATTAATACAAAACAGGGGATTAGTTGCGGAGGGTGGAATTGTTAAAGGGTGGAGATTTATTTTATTACCAATTGGCTGGGAAAACAATTGTTTTGTTTTTAATATTTATTTCTTTCACGTCATCTTTTTTCTCTTCTCTCGAGCTAGATCAGCTTAATTCATTACAATTTGTAAAAATATTATACTGTACCAAAACAGCTATTACCATTATTTTTACATGTATTCATGTATCTGTAATTCCACTGTGGTGTGGCAGTATATAAGGAGAAACACCCCTACGACAATTTCATCTCCCCTGTCTATATATTGTTATCTTTTTTTGTTTTTTTAGTGTTTTTTTTTACCTCTCTGAAAATCTTGAACGCTTCACATAATATTTTACAGTAATCGACAGTACGTGAGGATTAATCATCGTTAATTAGTTGGTATTATTAACTATTATTTACAGTGTGGAAACGAGTGTTACGCACGCAATTTTAATTGTTATTCAATTCAAATCTTCGACGAGACTAGTTCATCGAGTGAATGAGATGCGTTTTAAGGGGAACGTAAAATCACAGTCACGCAGAGGAAATCAGTGGCGAAGATCTAAAATGAGATCATTTCAATCTGTTAAGTATCGATTAATCTGAGAACTATTGATTGTACGGAAAAATGCAAAAAGACCTTTTTTGTGGACAATTTCATAAGCTACAAAAAAGTATTTCAACATTTCCACCTCAAATCGATAGATTCCCAGATAAATCGATGATTAAATCGACTTTCGACTATTCCCACTTTAGCACTTTGTTACTGAAATAAATTCCACTTGATTGCAGAAAGTGCAGAATTTTAAATTAATTTCTTGATTCAATTTATCCTTTTGATTTCAGTATAATGATGCATTCTCAATTGCGTGCAATACAATGATTGTCATGCAACTCAATGTTTCCTATTCGAAAGTTGAGGAGCAAGGGAATGAAGCGATTCGAGATATTCTTAAAATACTGAGGAAATTTAATGATTCTGAATCGTTTCACCTCTTGACCACTAAATCATAAACACAATTTTTATTCTTGTGATTATTTTCGTCGAAGCTTCGATTTACCTTTCTCGTCAATTATCTTTACATTAAACTGTACATTGCAACTATACAAACAACATGTCTCGATGAACGAAACAACTTCAATTCAATCACTTGTGAGGGGTAGAACTGACGATTTTTTTTTCGAGTCTTCACAGTGACATCGCAGGCGGATAGAGTCGAAAAATTAAAGCGTATGCAGTGGATTTTTACTCTCAACTTTTATTCTTTTTAACTGTAATTTTTTTTTTATTTATCTTTAGGTGAACCCTTCGGGTCCTTTTCTGTATAAAAAGTGTGACCTTCAACTTTTTATTTATATCAGTCAGTGGTACAAAGGATTGCTCACTCGCATTCTCCCAACTTGTTGAATCGTTGAGAATTGAACAGAAAATAATTACGAGAAAATAGAGATAGACTAATGATGACAAATTAAAGACTAATGCTTTTGTTCTCAATTACTTTACTAATATAAATCAGGTACACGATTGTTTTTATTAAATTTTCACGACAGAAGTAGAAAAAGCTTTGATTACTGATGTGAATGAAGACAAAACTTTCAATTAAAGTGCTGTAAAAATAATCGTGTTTAATCATTTCATCATCTAATGTTATTTGTACAAAGTATTCTTCCTTTTAAATAAAAAAAAAAACGTAACAGCTAACTCCCTCAATTCCATAAACACTGATAACGTAGATTGCAACATAATACGCCGATAACAATTTCCCATCACACGGTGGAGAATAATCGAGTGGCTGTAATCTGTTGTACCAACATGACAAAATTATTCCTACATTAATTATTAATTTTTTTTTAGTAAATTTTACGTGTAATGTACAATTTATTCCATACTTTTTGGACAATGTGCTACCTCGTACTTTACAATCCGTTAATCATTCAATAATTGCAAAAATATCTTTCTACTAACTTAAAGGAGAAAAAATTGTCATAAATCAAAGAGCGGAAAACCTAGAAATAAAAAATCTACACCGGTTCAAGTAACCAGTGTCCAAAAGTACAGGTCAAATTATTCACGATGCTGAGGCATACATAACGTAGCAATGTACATCACTTCTTACTGAAACTAGAAAACACAATTGTCCAAACCATCATAATCACCTCACCATGAAGACCACTCACTCACATTGTTTCTGTTTCATTTCATTTTCTTTCTCATGAAAAATAAAGAGCAATCTATATTATATTACATTAAAAAATTTGTTTTTTTTTTCAGTCATTTACATTAGTGGGAAGTTTTGCATTTATCTTTGTCAAATCGACATGATTAAATTCCTCCTTCAGGGATTTTGGAAATGAAAAAGTGAACCCACCATGTCGATCACATAACGAGTGATTTATAATGTTTTCTTTAAAAAATTGTACGCAATTTTAATCCCTTTAAACATTGCAACATCGATGCAGTGCCAGATGAGGTCCACTGAGTCCAGCTCATGCAAGACCACGAGAGTTGATCGCCAGTTATTGGGCGGGTAACTAGCGTTCCTGCCCAACAAAGTGCATCACTTCAGGTATGCTTTGTAGAGTGTTGTACTTCTACACGTCTCTTTCTCCTGCTCCAGGAGAAACAGTAAATCCCGGAAGTTAACTCGTTTTAAACGTGGCCTCAGTGGCATCTGCCGGTTCATTCCGGTTGCCGAGGCTAACAAACCACTGCCACTTGTGCCTGAACTGCTTCCTGTACCAGACCCATCCAATTTTGGCTTTTTACGGGGTCCAATTGCCTGCAGTGCTGTCAGGTTTGCCTCGCGCTGACGTAACTCCTCCATCTCTGCCCGTTGCATCTATATCCGAATTTATTCATCTTGTATTATCTTTACATCAATTTTAATTCTGCTAAATGTCCATTAACCTAGACCTATTGTTTTTAAGGAGAAGCGTCATTTAGTATGCCCGCTGAATCGTTTGTTCGTTCAACGGTTTAACGACAGGTTTATCAACTCTAGAAATTTACCTCTTTGGCCTTTGCTTTCAACTTGGCCTGCTCAGGATCCTCGGTTTTAGCACGACTCTTGGCAGCTCTGAGGAGGAGTTCACGCTCTTGTTCTTCGTGCCTTCTGCGCTCAACCCTGTCGAGCTCCTCCAGGAATTTCAGTTGGGCTCGCACATCTTGCGTCACTTCGTATCTCGGATCAACCTGAAAAAATCGAAATAATCCATTAATTGCAGCTTATGAAATAAAAGTAAGACAATTGAAAATTAACAGTTGTATTAATTTATCGTAAAAACAACAAAGGACTTTTTTGGAATCCATTAAATTCCTGAAAAAAAAAATCTCTTATATTTCCCCCGTAAAATCAATAGTACCATAATTAGCCTCACCTTAATGAGATCTATCCGATGCTCTGCAATAACCGCCAGTTTCTCCACCAAATTTTTTAATCTTTCCTGAGTTGCATGTGATATTAACGCGGCTACTTCTTGATTGGGCTCTTCCAATCCATAACTAGTTACTAAAATCAATAAAACAGAACGATGAATTTGTAATTATCATGGTAAGGATGAATCACCGACTTAACAAATAATTTTACCAATTTGTTTAATCCTCTGCTGAAGGGGTGACACATGAAGAAAAACTTCGTCCTTACACGATCGTATCTGTGTACCAACGAATTCGGTGGATCCAAGGATTCTCTGAGACTCCTCAGCGAGATTCACCCCTCCCATTGCTGCTACATCGTTGATGTCGTCGTCTCCCCTGAGGGAAAAATTGTTCTCGTAATTTTCACCGTTAAATATGAAAAATCATTTGATAATTGAATACTAACGTATAGCCTGCCGACGAAAAAGTCTTTTTTTCTTTCTCTTTGATCGCTGGTTTTGGCGTGAGAGAAGGCACAATGGTTTTGCTAACAGTAGTGGCGGTGTTGACAGTTTTACCTTGGGTAACAGGTGTTGTTGTTTTAGCAACACTTGTCGTTGTTACTGGTACTTTTTGTACAGTTGGAGTGGATGATCGTACACCCGCAACTGCCACCGTTGATTTAACGGTGTAAGGCGTAGGGGTGCGGACTATTGTCGTTACTGGTCGTATCTGTATTGCAATTTAATCATCATTTATCTATTTATTTATCTCCAAATGTGGACTAAATCGAGAGGTTTAGACTCTTGAATACAATTACCAGTCTCTGTTGAACAGTTTGGGGTATCCGAGGGGTCGGAGTTGTGACAACTCCAGCTGGAGGTGCCATCACTCTCAGAGGAGCTGCTGAACTCGTCATCACAACAGGAACTGACTGGGCCACTGCCACCGTTGGCCTTATCTGATTCTTTGTAATCAAATTTTCATTTCATTTTTCTAATTCACGATTTTCACGATTTTTCACGGAATAACTCGGAATCTATCAGAGATATTGAAATTTTCATTCTTAACTCTTTTGTAGAGAACAAAAAGAGTTACAAAAAAGGTCCTAATAAAAATTTCAGGGTCTCCTTCAGATTCCGAGATATTTGGCAAAGTGTAAAGCTCAAATGTTGAATTTTCGTTTTTATTGGAGACAAAATGAAAATGAGAAGATAATTCACCTGTTGAATTTGAGATGCCGTCGTTGCTATTGAAAACACAACATTTGGAGGTGGTGGTCTTATTCCCTCGATGACCAATTCTCGTGTAACTAGTGACTGCCGCAGCAATGGCAAACTTTTCTTGAGAAAACCAATGAGACATGGTTGTGGTGATGCATTCAATAATTTCTCGAGTCTATCACAAAACTCCTCGGGTTCAACTCTAGTATCAATTAACTCTTGTATCAACGTCCGCACATTACGTTCCACTTGCTTAGGTTCCCGACTAGACAACTCTAACAAGTTTGCTAAGAATTTACGACACTTTTCTTTGGTATTATCAGTGGTTTGACGCTGTGAAGAAAATCATTGATATTGTTAATAACTGTTGGGAGCACCAGGACTGGACTGGGGAATTTTGTGGAGTTGATAGTTACTTTTACCTGTGCGGGAGTTTGAGGGGTTTGAGCAGTTGTTGTGGGAGGTGTTACAGTCGTTGGAGCTGCTGCTGTTACTGTGGCCGGTGTTACCGTCGTAGTTGTTACTATCGGAGCTACCGTCTATCAAAGAAAAATATATTGATATATTCGAGTGATTACTGGCTCTAGCGGAATAACTTGTCAATCCTCAGGAAAATCAAAAAATAATTTTGAATGCATTAGCCAGACAAATAGAAATGCAGAAATATCGAATGAATTTCGAGGGGAGGAATAGCAGCTACTGATAAAATAAACAGCCAACAATTCCATTTATTTTTATTTAATCTTGTCATTGGTGCATGTGAATCCGGGGTTTTCCCGAATTTTTGGTCAATTTTGGTGATAATTTATTCGGTTTTAATGGCAGATGAACTCGTAAGGTAATTATTCAACTTGAGACGCACTCGTATCGTACAAAGACCCAATTTCATGTGATTTAATGAAATCCTGCATTATAATTATCGCGTGAATCAAGCGTTATTACTCCCGAGAGCCTGATCAACTGCTTCAGCATTATATCCTCCAGAAAAAAAATGTATAAATGACTACACTACGCAAACCTCATGCAGAGTAATCCTCTCAGAGCGTCTCCCTGAACTCTATCCATTACCATGCAGAGGCTATTGACTACAGAAATTCTGGAGATCTCGGAAAATCCCCAGAGCGTAAAAACTTGGTATTCAACCAAAATCCTGAAATCTCACCGACATTCCATGGAAGTGTAACCAAATAAATATCAACAAAAATATTAATGAATAAACTGTAAATAAAATTGATGAAGAAAAGAATCTACAGCGAGCACTACATTGAGTCTGAACGATTTGGTATGAGAGTGCGTCACCTGAACGGGTTTTCTTATGGTGGCGAGTGGTGGACCAGTGAACTGTGCGTTCAGCCTACTTACAGCTGGTACCGAGGCAAGACGATAAGTTGTTCCAGCTGGTGGGCCAATAACAGTGTTCCCGCCAATACTGTTGGCAGTGACAGCACCACCACCAGGTGTTCCAGCCGTGGGTGCTGGTCCGACCCTCAGCAGTTGATACTGTCCATTCTCAGTTTTAACGATAAGATGACCCTGGGCACCAGAAGCAAGACCCTGAAGAGCTTGAAGAGTGATCTACAAGAATAATTCGTTTTACCGATGTCTCCACATCAGTTAAGCCCTCAATACGTCAGTTGATTCATTAATGAATGTTCCGATGATATTTCAAATGGGTAGATGATTTTGACGAAGTAATGACGTGATAAAAAGTAAGAAAAGTAAGAGAGGCATGGAGGGACTCACCCCAGGTGCACCAGGTCTCGTACCAACGATGTGCGGTCCCAGTACAACTCTGTTGGCAACCTGTTTGCCTGGCTGTTGTCCTGATACCGGTGTACCAGGCCTCATGGCATTGACATTGACAATCTGCACATTACTCGGTACAATAGTTGATGCAACCTGTTTACCCTGTAACGTTGTACCGGCAGTATTGCCAGTAACTGATACTGGTACTGACATTGGTACTGACACCATACCCCCCTGTGCAACACTCGTTTTAATCACTAAAGCTGTTCCAGTTGTCTTATTGACATTAGCCACATTAGCCACAGTCTGACCGCCAACAGTCTGCGTCACAGTGCCCACAACATTGCTAACAACATTTGAGGTTGTCTGGAGAACAGCTGTCTGAGCAACACCAATAGTACCATTAGCCAGTTGTCCAGGAAAGGTTATCTTGTTATTAACAACGCCAGTCGTTGCTATCACTTGTCCACCCGATGCTGGATACGATATTATCTTGACGGAATCATGTGTCTTGCTCAAGCTCTGCAAGTTTGTTTGATTAGTCGTCACCTGATTGGTTGTAACTTGATTGATGTATCCAGACAATTGTCCATGTACGTGAGCCTGAGTGGTCACCACAACCTGATGCTGCTGCTGCTGCTGCTGCTGCTGCTGCTGTACCTGATTCTGCTGTGTTGTATGTTGTAATCCTGCATTGGTAGTAGCAGCATCAACCGGCATAAGTGTTGCTGTTGCTATTGACTTTGTTACTTCCTGTGTCATTAGGCTATTCACTGATGTTGTACCACCACCATTGGCAACCCCATGTTTCTGAACACCAGGAATACTACCACCATTTGATATACCACTTGTTAATTGATGATTGTGTTGGCTCACAACAACTGTTGTTGGTTGTTGTACTGTTATACCAGGCGTTGATGTTACCAACTGCGTCTCGAGTGAACCAACAATTGCATTAACAGCGGATTCATCAACGTCCGTGCTCAGAGCTTCCTCAAGAAACTTAGCTGACGCCATTTTCTTCCAAGCTCCAACTGTTAACTGTTTTGCGCAGGCGCCTCGTGAAAATACTACCCATCGTGCATTGGTATTATCCCCACCATTTGTACATGAGTGTACAGTTTTTTGGGGTGGCCACTAACACCAGTGAATGTTACACTGTTGTCCCCCACTTTTGCCACAATAACTATTGAAATTCAGTACCAATGGCTATTACTCCAGACTCAGGCTACACAACAGGCACACGGTGACTCATTTAAACTTCAATTTTTGATTATGATTTTGAGGGAATCCAGTTTGTTTATCTCGGGGGATGAGAGACGACTTTCGGCTTGGCCTCGTGCAATTGTGTGCAACACTCGAAAACGCGCTAGAAATAATTTACCCCCCCTACCACCGCAAACTGTCTCCTTCAACCGCCCCTCCAGGTAGCAATGGCTGTCAATACACCCCAAGACAACACGTCACCCCGCCAAAACTATACACTTCGAATTTTCCGGGGGTGGAGAATTATCCGGGGATTTTCACACTCTCGGCTCCCGAGGTGGCGGTTTTTTCCCGGTTTTATCGGTGTTTTTCGACGGATTTGAGCACTGAAATACTTGGAAATTGTTGCTGTTGAGATTGTGGGGTTCGGAAAGACGCTAAAGGAAGGCGGTTTACATTTTTGCCGCGCGTGATCACAAATGCATGAGTTTTTAGGTCCAACCCAAAGAGGATTGACTAAAGTAGAGGCTCGGTTCTGGGGGTTTGAGTGACCCCAGCGGCATCGTAGTACTGCACCCCAAGAGAAAGATGTCGCCGACACCAAAACAGCGGACAAGTACCTTCAGACGTCGTACGTAGCGCTGTATAACGCCTTCTCCTCATGTGCGTTTCGTCCCCACAATTCAGCGATTTCTGGCGTTTACATTTGAATGCCAGTCGAGTCGTTTGATTTTTTTTTCTTTCCAATTGACATGAAAAAAAAAGACTATTGACTATTATTTCATAAATCAAGTAATTAAAGTGAAACTCTTTCCACGCCACCCAAGAGGTAGAGTCCTTGACGCGTTTTTTTTTAAGTGGTATCCCCTGTAGGCCTAATCCACTAAGTCAATGGATGGGAAATTATTATGATTTAAAAACCTGGAATCAAAAAAGAACCATGACATTTATTAATAATAAATAATAATGAATTAATAATAAATTCATTAATTTCTATGGATATTCTAGCTGCATTGTCGATGTTGAATGATTTCAGCAACACTGATTTGGGAGAAATATTGAACGATGATGGAAGATTCGAGGAAGTTGTCAACGACATAAAACAGGTGAATTATTTCATCGATGACAATAAATGGATAATAAGGCGGTTGTCTCATTATTTTCTTGTCTTATTATTAGATATGCGACTTACTAACTTTTCGTGAGGTTTCCTAGTTTAAAGAATTGGAATCTGAAAAGAAAGTAATTATTTAAACAATTATATAAACAATTATCAAATCATAATTGTGATTTTTATTTGTATTCTCCTTCGTGTCCAGAAAATAGCTGAGAAATTCTTATCGGGAAATACAGAAGTCGATGAATTCCTGGATCAATTCTTGACCCGAAGAAAGATAATGCATTTACGAAAGGTGAAGGTAGACAAAATGCGAGAGCTCAAGAGGAAACCGAAATCGTCAACAGGGGGTTATCCAGCAGTGAACACCTTTCGCCGCCCAAGTTTTCTTAAAGCTATTTCCATAATGTGGATGAAAATAATTCCCACGATAGCCCTCATCTCAGACAACAAGACAAAAGACTACATCGTAGGCTTCACGGACCTCGGAAATTACGACGATTTTTCCACAGAGATGATGGAGTGGAGAATAGCCCAGTCTGGTGCAATATCATACACTGGTGACCTGTTGAATCCACCAGAAAAGGGAAAGAAGCCGTCTAATCTACTCTTTGGAAACCAGAAATCAAAAACAATTCGAGGCAGAACTAATTCTGACGACAGTGGTTCTGATAACGAATGATTTATTCTCATTCGATCGAATTTTCCTAGTTATTCGCATACCATTTTGGATTATTATTATTTTTTGTACGTCACGCACACTGATAAATGATAAATTACGAATTGAATCAATCTGATCGAACACAATAAACATTTATTTATGGGTTTATATTGAATTTTTATTTGAGTTATAAATACCTTCAGCCCTCCTCATAATTAAAAACTGAAATATAAATATGTTTCATCAGGAATATTATGGAATGATATAACTTTTACATGACCTGCACACAGAAATAAATTTATAGTAGTTTTCAAAAATTGCACTATCCACTCTGGGTCGAATTTAAAGATTATTACCGCACACTGAAAAGACACACAAAACATTGGTTTTTAAAATTGTATTTAATCGGTAAATACTACGAGTATTAGGCTATGGTGCATTTACCTGGATATATGAAAGTATT